GGTAAAACCTAAATGTTGCAGGCAATGGATCTGGACCTCTTTGGATGTCTCGCTAACCTTAATGTAAGCTTACAGGCTGAGTGCTGCTAACATAGCTAAGGCTACCTGTGGGAGAGTGGTTTAAGAAAGAGCAGTGATTATTTTATCACTTGTTGAGTTATGTCAGTGTTGTGTCTGGAAGGTCGAATTGTAAGTCATTGTGTCAGTGCAGGACATCAACAGTCAGCTAAGGGATGTTCTTTATGCTGGCTTGGAGTGGGAAAAACAGATAAATCCTTGTCTGCACCCACGTGTTGGTTTAAGGCCAATTTATACTTCTGCGTCGAGGGTACGCCGTAGTGTACGGTGTTGGCTACGCACGTAGGTGACGCCGTTGTGAGCATTTATACTTCTGCGTTCAGGTATTGGTTGCTCTGCAGTACTGCTCCGAAACGCTAGGAGGCGGCGGAGGGTTTTAATGTTCCACTGTGTTTAGAGATTCCTCGCGGCTAGGTTACTACAAGCAATAGCGACTGAAAGAGAGTGGATCAATAGCCGCGTTTCCACTGCCGGGCTAGGGCTGGGCCAGAGCTAACAGCGAGCCGGGCCGAGCTAGTGGCCTCGGGCCTCAAGCACCGGGCTTGCGTTTCCACTGCCGGGCCAGTAGCCCCACAGCGCTGCCCCAGACCCCACCCCTAACACGCCTTTCAGGATCAAACGTCATAAAACCCAACCCATTTCAGCGGGTATTATGAATTAATTTATTTTTTAAATTAGGAAGATAGCATGTATATTAACTCAACTGCCGTAGTGGCTGCAATAGTGTCCCGAGACCAGTACAGGCGATTCTCCATTTCAAGCAGCGATTTTTTGCGCGATATAACAAGTAGGGCTGCGGGCACGTTTTCAAGTTATTCATTAATCGTTAACCGAGGCCCATCGGTTAATACTCGGTGCATAGTGTGCGCGCCGCAACCTCGAGATACAGAGTAAATTTTTAACACCTTTAATAACTGATTGGACCCCATTTGAAACGAAATTTAATTTATAGAAATAAAACGCAGCAAGTACGGAGCAGTTAAAGCCCATATTTCCATCACCCTTCAAACTGAAATTGCCAATTGAAAATAAGCAAAACGTCCATTTCACAAAAACTCCGTGTCTGCAAATAATAATAATAATAATAATAACCATCATCATCATTATTGTAACATTTTATTAGGCTGCATATGTAGAAGACGTCTTTATCCAAAAAAGGAACAGAGCACAAATAAACACAATATTTTTGACAAATATCAGCGCATATCCAGTGTGTGGAGCACGCACTGATGGCTGCGAGACGCCCATGTGAACAGTTTCATTGCATTTCTTTCAGTCAGTGGTGTAGTCTACTTTTTTGTAGTGAGTATACTGTGATATACCAGCACCCCCCCCCCCCCCGCCGCTGCCACCACCACCCATTTGCGAAAAATTTTCAAAACTTGTGTGATATTCCTTTAGAATTCTGTTTTAATAGATTTAATTATTATTTTAAAAATTACATTTTACTATGCAATTTCTTTCATAATTCCATCGAGTTACTTTATTTATCTCTATAAACTGTTGTAAATTTGAGCTTCGGTGTGTTTTAATAAACTATTATTAGTATTATTAGGCCTTCTTGAAATAGGCCTATACTCTACTGTGCAATAGTAATATATTTCTTTTATATTTTCTTCAAGTGATACAAAACGTTGATTTTGACAGGTTGCATGAAGCAGGGGCGTCATAGGATTTTGATCATTACTTAGGATTTGTTCTAAAAAAAGGTAACACTTTAGTTTGGGATCTAATGCTATTAACCAGTTTCATTACATGCAAAGGCAGGGTTTTATAATCACTGTTGTCCCAAATGTGAGATAGGTTAGTCATGGGGATTCAGGGTTTCCCTGAGAAAATTTTTATTTCTCTGATCTACATATGTGCATTTTAGGATGTTTTGAAGGCCAAAAAAAAAATATAAATAAATAGATAACAGCTTTAAAACCATGTCAGTGGGCACTGGGCAGCTGATTATTTCTCTCTCCTCATCAGCATCACCCTCTTTTTCTCTTTGTTTTTATCCTGCCCTGTCTCTTCCCCTCCTAAAGATGAGCTTTGACTGATATAGGCTTTTCATTTTTATCAGTCAGTGAAGACAGTAAACATGGGGTCAACTGATAGGTGGATTTTCCCTATGAATAATTTTTCTCTGACACGTTTATTCACTGAAAGCTACTAAAGCTAGGTAATTAAGTTTATTAAATGCATTCAAAACATATAGGCTACACATTCATTATTGATCTTACAGGGCCATAGACAGGGCTTTATAATCACAGAGGTCCTAAATTTGAGGTTGGGGCTTCAAATTTTTTTTAATTTCTCTGATGTGCATTTCAAGACGATTGAAGACCAAAAAAAGAATAAGAAATAGCTTTAAAACCATGTCAGTGGGCAGTACATTCTCTTCCCCTCCGAAGGCTGAGCTTTTTTAATGTACTAAAGGCTACAATTTTTATTATATTCTCAATATGTACACATTCGTTATTACTCTTGTGGCTAAAATGATGAAAACGGCTTTGTTAATGTTTCTTGTCCCCTCGCAATGACAGTAAACTATTAAATTGCATGAGTCACGTTACAGGCCTATTTATTTCAGTTCAAAATGGCGAAATTAGACAAAAACTATATTAGTTTGCCTGTTTTTTTTTTGTTTGTCATTCGTTTAACATTTATGACCTAAAAAAATGTAAAATATGAAGTTTAGCCACTTACATCTTATCTCGCACTTGCCCGTAAACTGAAGCGTCGAGTCGCTCTGCTGAAATTCGCGCTCAGCGTCTGTGAATATAAAGCCCGCCTACTTTGATTTGATTTGTCATCTCAAATATTCTGACATATGACGAGCAGTGACAGACCAATGAGGCTCAGATGAACACGAACACACACACACACACGCACACCCTGTCCTCTGTTTTTGACGTGCTCTCTGCTCGCGCGCTGAATCTGATAACAGAACTTCAGGGAACACGGAATTCTGTCGCCAACGTTTAGGGGGGCTGATGTCGTAGAAAATGTAATTCACAAAACGATGTTGTTACGAATCCTCATGCTTTTTAAAATGGGCATACGGAGATCTTTGACATTTCCTAGTGGGCATACGCAAATCCTTGACATTTTCTAGTGGGTATACGGCGTATACCTGCGTATCACGTAGACTACACCACTGCTTTCAGTGGAAACAACTTAAAATACTCTTTAATTTCTGGTCATACAGAAAATAATAATACATTATTCGCAAATACATTTATTTATAACAAGAAAACGTTGTGCTTTAACAATTAATCAAGGCGCGCTTCATGATCTCCGTGAACTGAAGCGCGAGACCTGAAACAGCCACCGCATTCGAATTTGTTCGTTTTAAATTGGACATTTAAAGCTTTAGTCTACAGGGGTTATATCCTTTGTAGATTAAAGCTTTAAATGTCCAATTTAAAACGAACAAATTCGAATCGAAAGCCAATATCTTCTATGTTTATGTAGCTTAATTTCTCTCTAAATGTGCATCCGGAGATGGAGATATGTTTTTAGCCGAAAATCATTTAGAAAACAATAGTTTATTAATAAACAATTAATGCCTCGTTATTTTATATTATTTTATGATCAGACACATTTATTATAGCCTATAAATCACCCATAAATCCCCTTTCTGTAGGCTGTGGTTACGGCTCTTCTCATTCAGCACTGCGGGGAAAATATCATTTGCAGGTTCTAATTTGGCCTCAGAAAACCAGTAAAATATATATATTTTTTTCATATTAATTTGTCAAATATTTTAAATGTTTAAGGGGCAAAAAAAATCAAACAAATATCTGAAAATTCGTCGATATGTAGCTATATATAGCCTTTGTTGCGCAGCATTTGGCATAGGCAGTTCAAATTAAAATGTTATGCAATTTTAAACAGTTAATCGGACACCCCTATGTGCATCTTGCTTCAGATCATAACGTTCCTTAACACCGATAAACTCCGCCTTTTACCTTGAACACGCCTCTAGCCCGAGCTGGCCCCCTCTGGCCCAAGGTATTCGACGGGCCAGAAATCCTGGCCGTTGGCCCTGAGGAAGCCCCGATCAAGCCCCGGAAGTGACAGTGGAAACGCGACTGGCCCTGGCACGCACTAGCACGGCCCGGCCCTGGCCCGGCAGTGGAAACGCGGCTATGTTGGAGTTGGAGCTTATTGGGGTGGAAAAACAGTTCATTTTAGTGAAATTACTAAAACTGAAAGGCAGAAATGAGAGAAGACGTCGGAGGAGATGGTACGTGTGGAAATGCGTGAGAAGGTACGTGCGGAAATGCGTATGAGGAAATACGATGCTACCAAGCCGACCAATCACCGATCTTGCGGTCCGCGTCGTCGCGACGTGTAGTTACATTTTTGAAGAGGTGCGCGTCAGGCAACGCGGAAGGGTACGCGGTATGGGACGCGTCTGTGCGTATGCTACGCCGTACCTACTGCGCGCACCCTACGCAGAAGTATAAATTGGCCTTTAGTCAACAGGATGAGATCTGAATCAGATTGTATAGGAAATTTCACAGCTCGTCGCTGTTTGTGTTTTACTTGTTTTGAGTCTATGGACACTTTCAGATAATTTTCATTTTTTTGGGTGGACTATCCTTTTATGGTTTTATATGGTCCCCCCGTCATGCATCATTTTATTATATCCTGCATATAAGCGGAGACCAATTTTATAGTTATTTAATCATACATCAATAGAAAATCAGATATTGTAACATTAACTTCTCATCGATCTTGAGTACACTACTCTATCTCAGAGATCTAGGCCTATGTGTTTTAGTGTCTATTTATCCACAAAAAAAATCAGCAACTATTGTTGAAAATGAATGACTTTTGGTGACTTTGTTATGGCAGATCATGGTGTTAAACTTAATATATTTTTGAGTGTGAGATGTTAACATTTTTATTTCTTTTTATTTTTCCAGATATACAGTGTTGTGAAGATTCACGCCTTGTGACCTGTTTACAAGTAGGACAAGACTCTTGCCGTCAGTCTGCACACTTGCTTCTGTTTAAGGGTGTAGCACAGTAGTGAAGATCCTCACACCTCCAATCCAAAAGTATAGTAGTGTGAAATTCCACAACCAAGTCCAGAGAGCAGTTAATAAGGCCAAGAGGCAGCACTTGCTTTTTTTTCTGATGCAAGAGGACAACAAGAAACCAACACCCTTGGATGAACTTTTCCCCAGTACAAATGTATATATTTTATGATTGCAAAAACAGTGACCATTGAACTTTTTTAAGAAATATTTGCATCTTTTGGATACAACACTAATGCATTTCCCCTCAGCTTTGGAAAGATGAACATAAAATTAAGCGGAGGGACGATTTAGAGTTTGCGTAGATTTTCTTCACCATGTCATGGAAAAGAAACTATTTTGCATCTGGCAGCAGTGGGTTACAGGGCATATTCACCCCACGAACCATGACATCAATCGCCCCCAGCAAAGGACTCATCAACGAGCCGGGACAGAACAGCTGCTTCCTGAACAGCGCTCTACAGGTAGGACGACATATGTTCATGCTATAAACACATCATACATGTTATCTCCTTTTAATTTCAAAAAATCTGATCAGGGACTTGTAGTACAAATAGTTTCTCAGTTGAACACATGACTTTTGATGCATTATCAATCTTTATATGGTGCTTTTAGGAAAGTATCTCAGAAGTATCAAGTTGACTCAGTGTGGTCTCTATTCAACTCAACACACTTTGAGGGAAACCCACATGAGCTTGCCGAGATGTTTTCATCAACTGTTCGGATCTACTTTTGCCTTGTAGGCTGTGAGGATAAATATTTTGCATATTCTTTCATAAATTAAACTTGTGCAATGTGTGACCTCAATAGATCCTCCCTTCCTAAAATTGTGCTCCACCCCATGATTTGCCATTTGAAGCAACAAGTTAAGCGGCTCGATGAACATAGCAGCAGTAGGAACGGTGCGCTGGCTCTTTACACGTAGCTCTCCTCGCATGAGCGCCATTAGACAGAAACCACTGTGCCTTTTATTCATTGTGCTGCTCGTTGGAGCCTGCGTTAGATTTAGTGATGATTCAAGCACTGTCTGCACTAGACCCCACAAACAACTGTCAGACGCACACTGTCCTGGCCGGTAATTACCCTGCACAGCAACCTGCCATTACTCACCCTCTATTTTTGGATTACTGTATAATCAGCTATATGGAAATAAAGGGGCTTAGCTGGCTGATAATATGTCTAAAGCTACAAATTAGAGTCAGTTATGGCTGGTTCGGGGGGTTGGGTGTTTGAGGGAGTATTGCGGCTGGATTGTCTGTTGCCATGAAGATTAACAATATGGCAAAACCTGGGGATTAAAACTGTAATCCTGTTTGACAAAACATATATCTATAAACATCTTGATGTACTTGAAATGCAAATGTAAAATGAAGTCTATCAAAATTGATATTAAGTCAACATTGCCTGGCCATATTGAGCGGCCAGCGAAGGTCAGTAAAAGAAAACATCCAGAATAGAATAGAATTAGGCTACTCTAATAAATTCATGTAAAATTGCTTGCAACGAGAGTGGTAGGGGACATTTCGACTTGGAGCTAAATGGAGACTGGCTGGACTGAGCTGCCAGGAGTGGCGGTAACCAAATGAATAAAATAATGAAAATAAATAAATATTCATTGATTTTTAAGTATTGTTTGAACAATTCACACAGAAAATAGAAAATTATTGTAACTTTTTTTATTTAATGAGCCTAAATGTATAAATCTCTGGGAGTTGTCTTAACTGACTTGCCAGTGGGTGGTGGCAGGTCACGTGACCCGTCATTGGCGGCTTCTGTCGGCCAGCTGAAGATTAAACCCCCTCTCCTTAATTAATAAGTAAAAGAAAAGAGCCAGTTGGTGGGGAAACTTCATTCTTCACTCTTGTTATCAGGGTTTTTCCTTCATATAGAATTAAGAGATGGCCGCCTCCATCAAATTCCGTGCCGCCTCCGGTTCTCGACAAAACTCAGACAGTCACATGCTCAGATACACTTTTTCCACCGTGCCGTTCTGTTGCGGGTTCCCGACCTGTGTCCATTTTCAATTCGTATAGTTTGCCGATAGTTCTGCACGGATCATAATCAGTGGGTCAGGTGGGCCAAGTAATAAAAACATAACATTGCAATTAATCGAGGGTGGATGACCGATAAATCATTGTAATGTGTTGAGTTTAATAAAGACACGGAACTGTCATCATGGTAAAGTGCAATGTACATTTCAATTCTTTTTTTTCAATATCAATTTTTTTTTAAATAACTAGAGATTTTTTTGAATCTTTATTAAAACAAGAACAAAAAAACGCGGTTGCAGCTGCTCTTCCGTGGTTGGTTTGTAAGTATCGCGGTATTACAATATTGCGGTTATTGCGGCAGAGTTATCTGTTATCCGCATTATCGTATATCTGTGACAGCCCTAGGCTGGTGAAAGCCATTTAATACTGTTGATAAATCTGTTGATACTGGTTTATTAATCTATTAATACCAGTTTAATACTGTGGATATATATATATATATATATTATAAAAATATAAAAATATCACAATTATATTATAGATTATAAATAATGTTCTGAACTGCTGGCAAGTTGAAAAAGGAATAAATAAATAATTCTTCACTTTGAGTCCTGAAATTGTTAGGTCATGTTTGTTCTTGAAATAAACACGTTGCACATGGTGTGAAATGGTCACATTCCGTGAAGGAAAATCCTCACATGACTGCTCACATTATTTGAATGTTTGATGAGCTGAAGGAAGTAACTCAGTTTCAGTCACTCATAGTAATTTTCATTCCATTTCAGTCTATCTCTCTTTTTCATCAGCTCTGCCTCCTGTCTGCTTTCCGTTCCCTGGATCTGAAGCGTGTAATTCGGTTAGTGATGGGCCGTGGTGTCCATCTTTGCACAGGGCTGTCTCTGATCTGTCCAGTTTGGGGACTTGTGTAGTTTTGCTCGCTCTTATTGAACTAATCGTTCAAGCCACATCCTATTGCAGCTCATCTATTTAACAATTACAATCTCCACAGTTGATCAATTTCAGCTGCTTTTCTTCTAAAAAGATAATTTCTTAAAAGATTGTCTAAAGTTTCCTTGATGGAATTTATTTGTCTTGCAGATATTTATGATTTTTTTTTTTTTACTGTCAAATTGCCTTCAGTTTCAACTGTCCCTTTATAGAGGCTTGACATTCCCCTCAGTAATGACGGTGGTCAGAACATTGCTTTAATGAGCAGATGTGACCCAGGTTGGCAAGCGAACACCTGTACTATTTGTAAGGTCCTGCAGGCTTCTCATCAATACAGCCAGTCACATCCCATACAAGTATACAACTCTACTGGACAGTTGAAAAGCTGGATTTTGTTGTTAGACATTCTCAGAGGCAAACTCAATGACATGTCAAAAGCTCCCAGAACTTGAGTGTCAAATCAGTGATGTCAAATCAATAGAAAGGGACTCTGTGGCCTGATGTTGACCGCTTGAGACATGGACACACTAGCTAGTCCATGGCCACTGGCTGAGAATGTCCCTGTGTGTCTGCAGAGCTACATGCATCCAGAAACCAGGATTGTTAGAAAAGTCCTAAAAATATCGTTGTCTAAGGTGTTTGGTTTCTTTCTTCTTCAGTGCAGTTAGATTGCATTTAAATAATATTAATGTTGATATGTTGTAATATTAAAAAAACAGCTTTTTTGCTTGATTTTCTTTTTTTTAACCCTAATCATCTAACCCATCTCTTGGACTTATATTACATAAAACAATTTTTTATCTTATCAATATTTTTATAGTGTACCTAATATTATTTAATATTTTACAATTATTTAAAACTATTGCTTATACATTTTTTTAATATCAAAGTATCCCGTTATTATAATTGTACATGAAACTACAAGACCACTATAAATTCATTAGCACTTGTCGGACAATGATGGCTCAAATGTCTTTCAACCTCTTCTTACTAGGAATGGGAATCTTTTCAACTCTCACGATTCGATTCTTGTGGTCACAATTCTCAATTTTGCATCTAATCTTTATTTTATATAGCCCATGCATAGATTTGAATTAGAATTGTTGAAGACTTGTGAATTGACCCCCCCACCTCCACCCCTAATCCTTAATTAGTCTTTTTTTAACCTGTCCTGAAACACTCAGATCTTTATATTTCAGCCGTGCTTGCCAAGGTTTTGTGTAAAACTTCACCAGTTGATTTTCCTAAACAATTACTTCCTAGGACCATTGCAAAAAATAAAAAAATAAAATAGTCTGATAATACTGTGATAGTGCAGTTTAAGTTGTCTTTTGTGCCAACATTTACATTTAAGCTTTTGCTTAAGCTAGGACTGCATTGCATTTCATGCATTTTATTCACTTACGGTTCATTTTGCCATGCAAAGAGCATCAGCAGAAGGTTAAATAGGGTGAGCTGAATGACCTTAGAGATCAATGCGGTTGAGTGCAGTTGAGGTTTATTGTGCAGACACGTTCAATGCCCCAACTTCACTCAAGCAGATGTTTTCTGATTTGTGTCTCTTGAAATCTGTAGTGCAGACAAAATCAATTTTAGAGTAATTTCAAAGTAAAGCGAACACACAGCTCTGCGCAAGTCTTTTGACTGAAACTTAAGTAGGTCACCATCTTACAGTTCATTAGCTATGTTTACATCTACCTATTTTTATGCGCATGTTGGGATATTGCATTAGAAAAATGCCGGATGGATAATGCGCAAAAATAAAAACGTATGTGCTCAATTGAGTCAGATAAACTTTTTATCCAATAAGAAAACGAGTATACTTTGCAATGGGACGACATAACAGGACTAACCAGTGAACTGGTCTCATTGCACAGCATCTGAAATGCTGTTTTGGTTGTTCTGAAATGCCTGAGCAAAGTCTGTCGTCAAAGTGGTTCAGTATAATTAACTGTCTTATACAACTGTGTTCACAAAAAGCAGAAAGCAAAATAAATTTGCATTTCGTCTGCATGCTCTGATTCGCAAGTAATTTATTATATACACTAAATTATTATATACACAGTGGGTTCTCCTACTTCTGAAACTTCCATTTCTCTTAGTGATTATTAGCGCCAACTAATCAGGAAGTGACGACTTTGTTCTCTTTTCAAATTTTTTATGCGATATTCCAATTTTGCACTTAAGTTAAGTTCGCAGCTTTGGATGGAAATTGACAATGGAAAGCCATTGACAGTTTATTAAAGTTATTAAGATCTGTGAAGGTGAAGTTTGACAGCAGATTCATCTGGGTAGCTGAGTTGTGTTTAGTGGGACTGACAGCTCTCTCAATAATTCAGCATGCAAGCGTGTAGATGTGCCGGACGAGCAGCGGGGCCATGGCACACCGTCTCAGCTCATGGCAGGCAGGTGGGGTCAGGACGGCCTCCGCAGCCTCCTGGGCATGGCCAGATGGGAGGTGTATATGATTGTGTGTCTGTGCGTGCGTGCAAGCTGCCCGGCAGGAAGCTAGCAGGTCTTTGTTTGTTCCGCTGACATTCCGCATCATCCTTCTTCTGGAGATGCATACATTCCTCAAGATGAAAGACTAAAGCTGGGAAACATGCTCATCACTTCATCTCACTCTCAGAATCTCCTCTGGTTGTTAACCTGCTCCCTTTCTCTTCAAACTCTTGGATAAATCACATGGACTTATCAGGTCTTTGTCACCTGATTGGTAAGACATAATTGCTTCTCTCATGTGATTGGATTACGAGGTGTCAAGAAAGCTGAATTTAGGAGATTGATACTGACAGACAACTTTCTTCAGAACAGATACAGCTTGCAATATCTCTGTCTCCAAACAGGCTTCTGTTCTTAAAATGTCTTGCCCTCCTGAGAAAGACATTTAAGAAGGGGTGGAAAGTCAACTGCAGGCGGTGCAGAGCAGCAAGTGCTTTTTGAGCCTGATACATTTTTGATGACTAGAGCTGCATTTTTGAAGTTGTCTTGAAGACTGTCTGATGCTTGATTCAACCTTTCTTTCAGAGAGCTTTTGTATCATGCACAGTCAGCTTCAAAGATCAGATTAAACATTGCTTTAGTCTAATTTCTAATTTTTCTCACAGGTTCTCTGGCATCTGGATATCTTTCGGCGAAGTTTCCGGCAGCTCACCACACACAAGTGCATGGAAGACTCGTGCATCTTCTGCGCTCTGAAGGTAAAGCACTCAGCCCATCAGGTTTTAACGTTATTCATGATGCATTTAAATCATAGAGCTGACTGGGGTCACTGCTCCATTGGAGCTTTTCTAATTCAGTAGTTTGCCTTTTTTATACGAAGCCTAATGCGTTTCCACCATCTGTGTATGCTTTAAGATTCTGAAGTGTTATGAAACATTAAATAGTGAACTTTGATGAAGCAGAGAGATTATTGGGTTTACCCAGGGGTTTGTTGTTGTTGTAGATTTAATTGAAGTCATAGTTCACCCAAAAATGTCATGATCTGCTTTTCATGCAAAAGTCAATGGTCAAAACTGTTTTGTAGTGAGCGATGCACTGATGTGAAAATTGTGGCCGATACGATATTAATATTGCTGTTATAGCCGATACCGTTATTTACCAATGTCAATATCTCTGTATAGAAAATACATAGTGAGGATTAGGGCTGCACGATATTGGTAAAAACATACATTTTTCTGCTATATATATTGCTATATAATAAACAATTTCACCAGATGACTTGAATAGCTCTATTTGGAAAGAATCATTCTAGAATGACTGGGGTGGTTTTGTCATGGAGTATCCGCATAGAAACTAATATTAATAGAATGTTAACTATTGTAGAATTTTATTTATATAAAATTATATGATTTTTTTATTGAAAGTGTGGTTTATTATCTGAATGTGTGGAAAGCTTTTCAGAGAAGATAAGGCAACGTTATTTTAGCACAATTCACAACCAGTGGTAGTTCGGTCTTCTGACCTTTTACCATCGTGTATTCTCAAAGATATTTACTCAACTCATTCATTAATATGCGTGAGGGAGGGAGAGAGAGCAAGACAGTTGGAGATGGTGAGAGTGCACATGACGGGGCTTTCAGTCTCTCTGCTCGTTCTCTCAGTTAAACAAGCGCAGGAGTCAGTCATCTACATCACTCACCAGTCAAATAAGGCTTTGGCGGGACAAAAATACGCCTTAGTAAGGCTGACAAAAAAACAGCTCGCAAGTTCCAGTCTTCTTGCGCTTGATGTTTAAACTGACAGGACTTGCGCTCGTACATGCACTCGTGCAAAAACAAACATCCCCGCCCCCACACTCACATCAACACACACGTCAAATACACAGGAACGATTATCGGCCTGTTCACATCGGCCCTATTTTGACAGCACAACGTGTAAAAAATTTACCATATCGGCGATATTAAATTGGCTGCAGATATATTGTGCACCACTACTGTTTTGTAACCAACAGTCTTCAAAATATCTTCTTTTGTGCTCTGCATTAGAAAGAAAGTCATACAGGCTTGAAATGACTTTTTAAGTAGTAATTATTTTTTTCAATGTTGGTTTTACTGATTAATGGCTTCATTCGGTAAGTCTATAAAGAACAGCACCCAACAACTCCATTTCACCACTGTGCATTCAAAAAGGACTAACTTAATTCATGTTTTGTTTGCATAAGTTACTCAAATTTATGTAACAGCTATTCATTCTCAAATGAGAAACAAAGACGATATTTCACTAGTGACAATAATTATTTTCAAAATATTGTGTGTGGTTTAATTGAATGATTATTTAGGCCTACTTGTTTAGTCAAAAAGCAGAAATGACAAATTATTAAAAAAACACTGGATGTTTGTTGGACACCAAAACACAAAAATCATTGTTAAATCATTTTAAAGCTTTCAGACATTGCTTTATCTCTTCTGCTGTTGGCAGACCTTTTAACCGGTATTGTATTATGTTTTTGTACATTAAGAAATTAAGTATAAGGTAAAGTGTTATAAGGAATAGACGTGTGTCAAAAAACTAGCCGTCATGTCTTTAACTAGAGCTGTGTGGCAAGCTCCTTTTTCCTTTTTCCATCCATTTTCTTTTTTGTCTCTACCTCCCTCACTCTCAATTCATATTAGATTCATTTTAATGTTCAGAAGTGCCATTGGCACTTTCCATCAAATGTTCTATAACTCAGCTGGAAATTAGAGAGCTCTCTCCTGAGCCCTGTGCCAGTGCAGTAGGGGGCTGCCTGTCTGCTCTCACACACAGGACTGGGACAATATGTCTGTCAGCCTGTCCGCTCTCTTTCATGGGTATAATGCTCCCTATGTATTCAGCTGTCTGTGTTTTTCTGACTTTACTCCAGTTTGTTTCACTGTCAGTGCATAAGTCCAGTGTATCTCTTGCTTCAAACCTCTCAGAGTTTTCAGCCTTCAAAGCAAAGATGCTAATCCCGTAATGACTCTGTTTACTGAAGAGTTTCTTATGTCAGCACAGGAGTCAGTGCAGACAGTCATGTCTTGCATCTTACATCATAGGAAATCTTAGGTGTGTTCATATAACAAAAGACACTTAATTATGCAGGGTTTAAATGTGACTTTAGAGTGAAAAGAAAGAGACTGGTTTTAAAGGGATAGTTCACCCCAAAATGAAAAGTCATTCAATTACTCACCCGCACGTCGCACATACAATGTTCTTTCTTCTGTATAACACAAGCAAAAATGTTTTTAAGAATATCATTACTCTTTTTCATACAAAGGAAAAAGTTTTGATTTTTGGCTACAATTAACCCTTTCACACGTAAGTTTAAAATATTCTAACTGATCCCCCGGCGTGAGTTTTTCTAGGCCACCGTTATTTAGAACCTGTCACTTAAATGTTTCCATGGTGATGCGACATTGCTTGTTTGGTGACACAGTGCTGAATGAATGATGATCTGCAATTTACATGTAATTTTTCCTTTATTATTCAAAATATTCACATATGTATTAGCTATAACATGAAACATTTGATATTCTAATTGTCAAATATGTGCAAGAGGATGTGTTTTGTTGTCTAAACACCTTTATAACGATTGTGTTAGTTGAGCTGAATGTGCGATGGGCGCCGCCATATTAGTTTACAACACGTCAATTCCTCAACTTCTCACGAAATACATAGAAGTAAGTGGCCGGTGAACTGGGAGAAGAATATGGTAAAATGTAAAGCCCACTGTATAATTTCTAAAACAAATGCAAAAAATATACCATATCTGTCCCTAAAAAGTGTATATAAGTACTTTAGAGTAGTAATATATACAATTAAGGTACTACTATGAACCTTTTAGGGGTCCTTTTGAGGGTACTGGCCTAGTGAAGAGTGGTTTTTTTTTGAAAACTAGGTGGCAAAGGGTTGGTAATGTTTTCTTTGATTAACATTAATGGAAAGCTGTTTTTTTTTTTTTTTTTTTTTTTTTCTCAGAGCATCTTTGCGCAGTTCCAGTTCAGCAGTGAGAAGGTGCTGCCCTCTGATGCTCTCCGCTGCGCTCTGGCCAAAACCTTCCAGGATGAGCAGCGATTCCAGCTGGGCATTATGGATGACGCTGCTGAGTGTTTCGTAAGGACTCTTGACTCTTAACCATCACTCTTTCACTTGCCTCCCCCTTTAAAGCATTACTGCTTTTCCTCCCATTGTCCTTTCCATCTTCTTTAGTGTGCTTTCACGTGCCACATTGTACTCTCTGCTGATGAAGTAGATTTTCTTGAAGAGGATATTGCTTTGTCTTAAATATTTCTTGTGTACATTGTTAGCTCAGCTTATGACGTGTCTTGAGTCCATCAGTGCTAGTAGAAGGAAGATGTTTGTTATCCTTTTGGCCCTGTAATTATATCTCTATCTCAGTATTTTCCTTTCATTGTTGCTTGCATGTCTGCTTCCATGTCAGTTTTGGGTAGGATGATTGATAGTCGAGATAGCTGTGATGCGATCCCCTGAAATGTAAACCTGCCTGTTTGACTCTGTAATCTTTTGTAATCACAAAGAGAGACATCTCCTATTGTACGCAGTGATTAATTTCCTACTAATGGCTCATTTTAAAGGCCATAGCATCATAACACATAAGATAAAGAATGGCTCCCTGTCTCGACTGCTGGTTTTGCAACATTGTACAATGTGCTGACCAGTAAGAAGTTGGAACTGCAACCACGAACTGCAAATGCACATTTTTTCCTTTTAACCACTATTGTTGTCTGGCCGTTATGTAAGACTGGAGACACTGGTGAAGGGCAGATGCTTGAACTTTTAACATTTCCCTGCAGAACACAACCATTCCCCCCTCCCCAATTTAGCCATAACCCTCAGCCAAAAGAGTTATCCACAGACTCACCCACTGGATAGTGTGAATCAGTTAACATGAGACATGCAGGACACATGCTGTTTCTCTTCAGTTGGATTTTAATTAGAGAACACTTTAAGTTTTAATATTTTGACAATAATTCTTTTGCAGGAGAATATCCTCATGAGGATCCACTTTCACATCTCTGATGAGACCAAGGAGGACATCTGCACCGCCAAACACTGCATCCCTCACCAGAAGTTTGCCATGACACTCTTTGAGCAGGTGAATCCCCTTAATTAACAAGTTGTAACAATCAACAAGATTTTTGAAAGGGGGGTGGATATTTGCTGGATAATTTAAATATATTCTGTAATCACATTTTGGTAATGTATTAATTCCGCCGTCACATCTGAGCGCAAAACGCTGCTTGGACAGTTTCTAGATAGTTAAAAATAATGAATAATTCAATAATAATTTAATTGTTCATATGTGTTTAATCTGTGTTCCAAAAAAAAAAAAAAATCTTCTAACAAGAATAATCATGACAAACCAAATTAATTGTAATTGTATTAATTATACCATTGATGAAAACAAGCTGATACCAAGGTATTTTAGGCCTACAATTCTAACATAATGTTTCATAAAATAATCTTGATTGCATCCCCCCCAAGTAAGGTTAATGTAAGCAGCTTCTTGCAATACTATTCTAAATGCATAATAAAAACTAAGTGCAAACATTACCGCTTCAATGATGTATAGCCTACAGTCGTTTTTACTGTCCAATGACAGCCCATCTGATATATACTTTCAGTGGCATGGGAGTCGGAAGTTCATTTGTTGCCCCTACGAGTTTATAATAGCATATTTTAACAAGATTTTCAAATGATAAAGAAAAAGAAAAAACTGCCAAAATATTTTTAAATGTTGGTTTTATTAAACTATGTTTTAAACATGTAAATAAACAGTCTTGTATTATTTATTTTTCAGTCTTTTTAATTTTAATGTAGGCCTAATATTTATTAATTTATTGTTCTATTTTATAAATAATAATATATTAGTAAACCTGGATAATGGATAGGGGGCGTTGGCCCAAAAAAGTTTTGAGAACGACTTTCCATAGGTGAAGTATCCCTTTAACATATATTGTTTTCTTTCTCTTTTAGTGTGTGTGCAGCAACTGTGGTGCCTCCTCAGACCCCTTACCCTTCATTCAGATGGTCCACTATATCTCCACCACCTCTTTGTGGTGAGCAAAAACATCCCTGCAGCACATACACATGCACAATAGTGAGTGATGTTAAAGAATGAGGTCATTTTGAAAGCTGGGACCAAAAAGGGTCACACTGTGCACGGCACAGAAAACATCATGTCCCATGCTCTTCTTCAGCTGAGCAAATGATATCTGCGCCACATCAAACACAGTGAAATCAATCAGAAAAGAAAGAGATTCCCTCAATGGCCAAGAGCATATGGGAACTGCCAGCTTAAATATTACTCTAGGTCTCCTGGCCACTGCTTTTAATCATGGGTGATGAGCGGCCAGATCCGAAGCCGAGCCACGCAGCAGAGCAGCTCCCCTTGCAGCTCCCTCTGCAGTCAGGCTTTGTCAGGATCTGCTTTTAGAGCTGCTAGTTGCAAGTGCGGAAGATACTTTGCACCGTGGACAAACAGACTTAAGCACAACAACAATGAAAGGGCTTCATGAATATTCTAGTATGTGGCTCTGTGATTAAGGAGGATTTTTTATGACAATAGCTGACATTGCAGAGGAGAAGTGTTTGGTTTTCTGCACAACGATATCGACTTCTTGTGTCCTTGAACCTGAGTACTGTTACTGTCTAAGTACTGTTGCAAGGATTACAACTTATGGATTAATAAATTAGTACAATAAAAATATTTAATACGTTTTTCAGCTAAGCTATATTCTCTGCCTCAACTTTTGCCTGATCTGCCTCTGCGCCTAAATTGAACAGTATGTCGTGCAGTCTACATAGTCATGCAGTTTCAATACGCAACATGAAGGGAATGATTCAATATTCTAAAAAGAATAAATGTACTTAACACATATTTAAAAAAAAAATCTGACTATAGGATCTGCTCTGTACTGTATCAATTGTAAGTATATTTAGGTTTAAGTATATTTAGGTTTATCAATTGTAAGTATATTTAGGTTATCATTAGCATCCTATGATTTGTCAAAACGGGGTATCTGAGGGAGACAGCATAATACGTTTCCTAACTTTTGAGACAATCTTTATGGACATGCCTATGAATTCAGCTCAGAAAAACTGGTCAATTAATATACAATTCAACTCATGTTGGGTCAGAGATGTGAGCATATAGGCTGTTTTCCTGCAGCTTTAAACGGCTCTTATTCAGTCCAAATTTCTAAGCCCGGAGATTATAGATAGTTTTATAATATTGTGTATTTGAATGTCAGTGGAAATAATTGTGTAAAAAATTATGACAAATGGAATTATGACAAAGTCTCTCTTGTGTACTGTATATACACATTCTCACTCAGAGGAGCATGTCCAGGTAACATTGTGACATTGGCAAGACTGTCACCCTGAGACCTGCCTGAGCTGCGACGTTGCTCCAGGCACGCAGTGTTGCATTGTCTTTGAGATGCAGTGACCTCTGCTGCAACAATAAGATCAAACCTGTCTGTACAATGACCTCAGAAACACCCTCCTGAATACAAAAACCACTGTACACAAATACACCCAAACACTTGAATCACTTATTTAGGTTAGTGTTACAAATTCCATTTGAAGTCATATGGTAATTATAGGCTGTTTACTAAATCAAAGGCTTCACCCATAATTACAGATATGAGAGCTGCTGTTTATTGCTTGTTATATCTTAACGTATGACGTGTGTTGGTTATGCTACAGTAACCAAGCAGTGCGAATGCTGGAATGCAGAGAGAAGCCCACCCCAGACATGTTTGGAGAGCTGCTGAGGAACGCCAGCACCGTGGGAGACCTGCGCAACTGCCCGGTTAGCATTACTACACAGCGCCACACACTCCGATCCATCAAATCAAGTGCTAATTAGGCATAATGAAGCCTGGGACAGTGTGTGTGTGTGTGTGTGTAGTGCTTGTCTGGGTTTAAATAGGATGGTGGCCATTGAGTAATCGCTGGGTCAAAACAGGATGCAATCAGTGGAATTTTAATTTGTCTCATTGCCCTGAGGAGGACCAAATTCTTAAGCAACACACACACGCATTTATTTTCGTGTCAGATCATTTTCCATGCGTCAGGGATGACGGCTTATCACATTGCAAAAAAATACTTTTCTTAATCAGTATTTTGTCTTTACAGCAAAAGAATCTAAACATCCTTGAAACAAGATATGTTTACTTTTTACAAAGAAAATGTGCGTTCTATTGTAAGAACTTATTAAATTGATCAAAAGTGACAGTAAAGACATTTATAATGTTGTTTCAAAAGTGCTGTTCTTTTTAAGATTTTAAAATTGATTAAAAAAGAAAAATAGTTTTTAAATTGTAATTTTTCACAATATTCACAATATTTCCTTGGTTGAGTATTAGAGACTTCTTCCAAAAAGCTTAAAAATCGTATCGACCAATACTTTTGAATGGTATCGTTAAGGCTTGTTTATACAGAAATTAAAATTGATTGAGGTATATGCTTAAAACAAGAAAGATGCTTGCTTTTTATTGGGGTAAGAAGAAGGGAAAACAAGTTAGTTTCTTAACCCCATGGCAAGTAATTTTTTCTCATTTTAAGTATAAACCATATAACAAAATATTGTTAGATTTCTTTGATGGTCATATAAGGCATTCATACAACAATGAGTCCGTACATTATTAGATTATATTATGCTTGGCCTGTCTGTTCCCTAGTGCTAATGGAAGCAAACATGTTTTCAGACTTTAACCCTACAGCAAGATTTTCAGTATGAATTAAACACATTTGAAAGTTCAAGAACAAGGTGTACAAATCTGAAACACAACTGTTTTCTTGACCCTCAGGGATAATGAAGACATGCTTCACATGCAACTTAAACACACACAAACATGCATATTATGGGTGTCTGTATGTGATTTGTGAATTATGCAAGGGTGACTGGTGTAAGTTTGGGCTGGGAGAAGGAGAATTAATAGTAACAGTGTGTGTGTTTTTTTATTAAGCTCCAGTATGAAAAAGCCCTCTCCCTTTTTTCATCTACAGGGCAACTGTGGAGAGAAGCTCCGCATCCGGCGTGTCCTGATGAACTCTCCAGAGATCATCACCATTGGCCTGGTGTGGGACTCGGACCACTCTGACCTGGCAGAAGACGTCATTCATAGCTTGGGCACCGTCCTGCGGCTCGGAGATGTAAGATAAACTTCCTGACAGTAGTCAAAAAAATCTCACAAACTACACTCAATGCTGCTGACATAAGTCAGTTGGTAGATGAACAAACCCACAGCTAAAAGAGAACCCTTTGAATATAGATGGTGATAAATGCAGTCAGTGCTGCGACTCTGAGGTTACTGAGATGCACATGGGAATTACAGGCAGAACTTGCCAAACTTGTTGCATCAATGACCATGACTCAAACATAAAAGCCACTGTCTGCCACTGAGTTCACACTTTCTTAGGACACGGGGCGGGCACAGAGTGTCCTTAGTGGGTTAACATTTCGCTAAGTATCAGGTTCATGTTTCAATGTGAAATGTAAACCTTTTTTAAACAGGCCCAAACAAATGATTGTTGTAAACCGAAAAGCATCTAGAGGTCAAGAGTGGTGATCTGATAATCTCCTTTGAAAGATGGTCATGGTCACTTAAAATATGTAATATTTGCAAGTTTTGTGTGCATCTACTTTTATGTGTGTGTATGTGAAAATGAATGCCTGTATAATAATGATAATAATAAGTGCCCTCTTCTCCTTTTATTTCACCTGTAGCTGTTCTACCGAGTGACGGAGGACAAGGCCAAACAGGCGGAGCTCTACCTTGTGGGCGTGGTCTGTTACTACGGCAAACACTACTCCACTTTCTTCTTCCAAACCAAAATCCGCAAGTGGATTTACTTCGATGATGCTCATGTGAAAGAGGTAATCATCTGGGTGAATGTGAAAGACGCTGCTCTTAGCTTGTTAATTTGTCAGTTGTTCATATTGCTTTATTAGACATGCCCTTGTCTAATGTTCCTTGCTTGCTCTGTCCATGGAGAGTTTGTGTAGAATCATTAACTGGGATAGTCCAATGTGTTGGCTTGTTATTTAGCATTTCCCCACAGGCTCCCAGCATGTGGTGAGTGGGTGGGTGAATGTATGCGTGTTTGCTCCGTTAGTGCTTGCGTGCTGTTTTACATAATTCGGCAGCTTGTTGACTCACCAGTCAGGAGTGTGTATGCAGGTTTATGCCAGTAGCTCGCTTCATGTCAATAGTCATTAGTGCACATTATGGTCATAACATAGACAGGAATGATACAGCGTTCTTGTGAACGTCAATGAGCGATTATTATTTACCAGTATTACATTTCTTGATCATGGCGACAATATACTCTACTGTTCAAAAGTTTGTGGCCAGTAAGATTTAATATATATATATATATATATTACTTTTATTCAGCAAGGATATATTGTCCAAAAGCGACAGTGTTAACATTGTTAAAATAATTATAATAATAATGTTAATTTTTTATAGCGCCTTTCAAGGACCCAAGGTTGCTTTACAAAATAATACAAACAGTGGACAGACAAAGAGACAAGCATTCTGCTTTTTATAACAATCAAACAAGCAAAAAATGTCACAATTTATCGTTGGTTTCAAACGATAAATGATGTTCTTTTGAACTTATTTCTATTCATCAAAGAATCCACAACAATATTAAACAGCACAACCGTTTTTAACATGGATAATAATAAAAATGTTTCTTGAGCACCAAATCAACATATGAAGAGTTCAGATGCAAAAGCCTCTAAATGCCATTTGAAATTTTCTTCTGAAATGACCATTTTTTATCAAGCTTGTATATTTAAGTTCAGTAATTTCACTTAAATAACAATTAATAGGTAATCTTCATTGCCATTTAAGTGAAATTACTGAACTTAAATATACAAGCTTGATAAAAATGATCATTCTAGAAGAAAATTTCAAATGGCACTTAGAGGCTTTTGCATCTGAACTCTTCATATAAAAAATGATTTCTGAAGGAAAATGAAGTGACACTAAAGATTAGAGTAATGATGCTAAAAATGTAGCTTTGTCATCACAGTGACATTTTAAAATATATACAAATAGAAACCAGTTATTTGTATTTCACAGTATTACTGTTTATACTGTATGTTTGATTTTTTTTAAAAAAGCAGCTTAAGTGAGCATACGAGATTTCAAAATCTTATGGACTCCAGACTTTTAAACGGTAGTAAATGGTGGAGCCTCCATTTATCAGTCTAAAATGCTTTTGAAACTGATAAATGGTCAATTTTATTTAAATATTACATATTAATACTATTAAATACAAAAAATCTATATTAATTTGGTTAAATGAATGAAAAATAAAACAGTATTTCATTAATTGATACATATTTTGACATTTTTTATTAACGTGTTAAACTTTATCTGTAAAAACACACAAAAAAGTATATAGAGTTGAGATGACAGCAAAGATTTTAAAAATATGTAAGAAGATGTAAAAATAAAGGAACTGAGCATGCACAATTAACTATCCAAAATTTCAATATCAACTGATACCAATCTCTAATATTGGTTGATGACTGATGTGGTACCAATATTCTGCCCTACAAAGGCTAAGTGCAGTAACTCCGCAAACAAAGAAACGGAGAAAAAGGCCTTTAAAGTTTTTATACCAGCCAGTCAAACATGTTATGGGTAGATTATGTGGTAATACATCTCCGAAACGGGACATAATTTAACCCAGATATTTTTTCACAATACAGAACACATGTCAAACTAAAGCCCATTACAACTCATTTTTGACCAAATGTGTAGTTACTGCACTTTGTCTTTGTAGGGCAGTATTGTGCATCCCTACTTTTTATAATGATATATTCTCTGCTTAATTCCTGTAACTGTTGAAACTGCTTGAAAAAAAATAAAATAATTTGCTTTACATCACTAACGCGGTGTGTCATTCTCTTAGTTCTGAAACCTGCAGGGTTTAGATTCACAATAGCAGTGCAGGACTGTGGATCCTGGACAGTTGCATACAAATCAGCTTTTTTCGTGGAGTCTGGCAGGCTTATGCTGACCTACACGTGAGCTGCGCAGAGCTCTCACAAAAGCCCTCTGAAAACAAGGATATCCCACTATTGTTTACAACCCCAGCTGGACAGTGGCAGGGCGTGGCCTACAGAGAGAAACCGCCATGATAGTCCACCTCAAACAAACACACACACTAAAGCTAACTAGTTCACGCTTGCGTTCTTGCTTGTCTGTTTCTGCGGCCGCTCGGACATCCTGTCTGGTTATGGAGGAAGCGTAGATAAAGTCGTCCATTTGGGAAGTTGAAGTCAGGGTAAGCTTCGTCTGAAAGTGTTGGACTTGGGTTTCAGTCTCAGCTTTGTTACTCAGGGTATCCAGAACATTTCAACCTCGCCTCTGCTTTTGTTTAGTTTTCCACAATGTGTTGGGATTGCTATTTTGAAAATCTGTCAAATGTATTATTTAAACTGCTATATAACTATACTTTCTTATTCTCGCTCTCATTTTCTTTCTCACAGATTGGGCCCAAGTGGAAGGATGTGGTGTCCCGCTGTATAAAGGGGCATTACCAGCCACTGCTGCTGCTCTATGCTGACCCCAGGGGGACGCCAGTGTCAGCTCAGGATTTGGCCTCACGCCTAGACCTACATCACTACAATAAAGCATATTATGACAGTGAGGATTCAGGTATTTACACACCTTCATAAGGCTAGTTTATTCATAGAACTCACTTTTTTTTCCTTCATCAGGGAAGTTCTACACACTACATCAGATATTTAATTCATAACAAAATGTGTAATTTCATGTCTGATTATAGTAATTATATATGTGCTTCGCTTTTTAGACAAATATTTAGTGGAGTTTGATTAGGCTATTACTGTAAAAAAAAAAGACCCTTTTAATTTGACAGGAAAAAATCAGCAGCTGTGGTTATCAGAAATTCACTTGGTATGTGGTACATTTCATGAAAACGTTTCATGTTTTCATATCACATGTTAATGCTGCTGTAGAGTTACACTCACTGGACATAGCACTTATTCGCAATCACAAAAGTTAATTATTGCTCTTACTTTAAAGCTTTGCTGGATAAACATTTCATTGGCATTCTGTTCTGACATGATGCATTTTTTCTGAGCGCGTACGTCCGAAGTGTCAAACAACGCCAAACTGGACTCTGCTCCATGTTTCCATGAATACAAACGTTGGGTGACCCAACCCCTAGACTAAAAAAAAGCTGGATGACCCTCCCCTCAACAAAGAATAAAAAGACATGACCTCCCCTATTTTCCTCCAGTGGACCATTCCATAAATACCGAACGGTCCCTTATGAGGGACACTTCTGGCAATGTATTTTTTTTAACTGTTTTTCACTATTGCTATTACTCTACCAATCTTGATTGTCTTTTTTCATGAATAAACAAACACTGTGATGTTGTCTTGATTGATACTGTGAAGCAGTTTTGATACAATCTGTATTGTGAAAAGCGCTATATAAATATATTTGACTTGACTATTGGTGAAAAGCTAATGTAATAGATTTAACTTTCAAGCCCCATACATTACACACAAACAGTATTTACAGTAAAATTGAATAAATGCAGTGTTAAACCATTTACAGTTTTTCACCATATGTTGTACCTTTTTTCCCCACTCACCTACATTAAATGAATATTTCCATCAAAAGCCTTAAATCTGAGTTTAAGAGATATTTAACAGGTTAAAAATCTAGACCTGTGTGTGATCAAAGTCCCGAAGTGGGAATTAGGTTTTGAGTGGAATTGGATCCTGAGAAAGGAACCGCAATCAGATGACTTTGAAAGTCTTGTAGTGTATGGGCGACATTTGTGGTGGTCTTCTTGTATTGCTGCTAAAGCACTTAAATTTCCCACGTGGGATCAATAAAGTACCTACCTACCTTTGACCTTAGTAAACAACTATTCAGAATACTGTAGCAACCTCTTAGCAATGCCCTTTCACCTCCCTTCCCTGGCTACCACCCACAATATCTTAAAGTTTTATGCGGGCAGTCACTCTTTTTTTTTTGCTAAAAATATAAACATCTCCAATTGGTAGCTTTAGTGATAAGAATGAAATCTTCTGTTTTGTCAGGGCGTGAGCCATCAATTTCCAGCGATACACGGACAGACTCCTCCACAGACAGCTACAGCTATAAGCATTCACTCTCCCACTCCCATCATGAGTCTATGGCTTCCCACTTCTCCTCTGACTCCCAAGGAACCGTCATCTGTAACCCTGACAATGACTCTGCCTCCCACAGCAGCCTGGAAACCACAGGTATGTCAGTATATACTTTCATACTGAAATACAGTTTAGACATCATATTAGATATATTGACACTAATTGTGTTGAACCATACAGTTGTCAATTTGGCTTAGGGCTGCACAAATAATGTGCAACCTGGCTTAGTGCGGTTATCAAATTGCAAAGACTGTGATTTGATGAAGGATAAGATACTCATTGCATGTTTAAAGGATTAGTTCACTTTTGAAAAAACTTTTGCTGATAATTTACTCACCCCCATGTCATCCAAGATGTCCATGTCTTTCTTTCCTCAGTCCAAAAGAAATTAAGGTTTTTGATGAAAACATTCCAGGATTTTTCTCCATATAATGGACTTACATGGGAACCAGACGGTCCAAGGTCGAATCAGTTTCAGATGCAGCTTCAAATGTCTTTAAACGACACCAGACGATGAATAAGGGTCTTATCATGCGAAACGATCGGTTATTTCAAAACTTATTCCAAAAATGTAACTTTTCTAAGGACAAATGCTAGCCTTGCTCTGTTCTGTGAGGCGCGTTTGCAACGTCGCGTAATATGTAATTACGTTCAAAAGGTCACGGTCGACGTAGCCGGAAGTACAGAATCAAAATCGTCCGACATCGTTGTTTTACCTTTTAATTCCTTTTTTGTAAACGGCGTTTGAGTTAGTTTGCACTTTCAACCTATGCGTTCAACTTGTAAACACTCTGACTCTGTACTTCTGGCTACGTCGCCCGTGACCTTTTGAACGTAATTACGTATTACGTGACGTTACAAACGCGCCTCACAGAATGGAGCAATGCTAGCATTTGTCCTTAGAAAAGTTACATTTTTGGAATAAGCTTTGAAATAACCGATCGTTTCGCATGATAAGACCCTTATTCATCATCTGGTGTCGTTTAAAGACATTTGAAGCTGCATCTGAAACTGTCGTTTGGACCTCCGACCGTCTGGTTCCCATGAAAGTCCATTATATGGAGAAAAATCCTGGAATGTTTTCATCAAAAACCTTAATTTCTTTTCGACTGAGGAAAGAAAGACATGGACATCTTAATTATTTCAAATTACAAATTATCAGCAAAAGTTTTTTCAAAAGTGAACTACTCCTTTAAGACTGAATTGTGGGTTGTTGTTTAAAAAAAAAAAAAAAAAAAAACATTATCAGAAGAATCACATTTCCCCCCTCCCCTCCAAATCATCTCCTAGTCCCTGCTCCAACAATGACTTTTGTTGTGTTTCATTTTGTGAAGGTCCTTTAACCGACGGCGATCCAGTGCAACGCCACACTCTCAGAAAAGACGTGGTCTTGGACAGAAAGGGAGGAGTTTTGGACAGGAAAAGAAGTGCCAGCAGGCCACGAAAACTTGAGGTCCGGGGTGATTCAAGAAGTCGTTGTTCTAAGACTGATGAGGTGTTGTCTGCTGGCTACCACAGTGAAGGTATGCATTTCATATAATGCTGTCACCAAACCACAATACAAAAAAAAAAACAGATCATTGTGTTACTTTAATGGAACCCAGGTTAACAATCCATAACTGGCAGATCTGACAGATCATTAGAAGATAGTGTAGGATGTTGGACAATGTGAGCTGCATTAGTCATCACTGTTGCTTTTACTGGCTGTGTACATCAATATTAGGTTATGTAAAAATAACATTTCCTCTTCCTCTTTTTGATTTTTTTTTTTTTAATGTCCTCTCCTTCTCTCTAACAGGTGAGACTTTAAAAGAGCAGCAGGTACCCCGTTCCCTACCTAAACCCAGCTCCAGCCGACTTAGAGACTTTAAGGAGACCATGAGCAACATTATCCATAACCGGCCTCTTTCTGCATCGTCCTCGGGCTCAGTTTGCCCACCTGACTCCACCACTAAGGCTCGAGACTGGGAAGCCGACAGCACCAGCAGTGAGTCCAAGTCCAGCTCCTCTGGAGGGCGATACCGTCCGCCCTGGAAGCCTCGTCGTGAGGCCCTCAACATTGATAGCATCTTTAGCAGGGAGCGGCGCAAACAGGCCGGGTACAGTCCACTAGGAGCTCTGTTGCCTGAAGACACAGGGCCTCTGGGGGACTTGGCGACATCCATGGAGCAGACCACCTTTCGAGATCTGCCAGGACTCCTGAGACGAGGATCAGAGCAGCCCCCACGGCTTATCCAGAGGATGGAGAGCGGATATGAGAGCAGTGAGAGGAACAGTAACAGCCCTGTCAGTCTAGACATGCCTGTTAATGAGGGCACCAGTAATGGCATGCACAGGTATGATGCAAAAATCTTTATCAGAATTCATTAGGATCTTTGTTGGCACATTATTAACTTCTTTCTCTGTTTTCCAGCTTACGAGAGGGAGGAAATAAAAACCCTCCACCTGAAGTCAGCCCACCATGGAAAACTGTACCTGTCGCAAAATCCAAGAGCAGCAGTGCCCTACTGCAGGATGTCAAAGCGTCAGTCAAGGGCAGCAGTCACATGAGTTTAGGTGTGTACAGCATGATCATGTGTGTTTATAGTCGTCACACAGCCATCATGTGGGTGAATTCAGCTGTTCTTTACCTTGGGGATGAATCATTATCTCTAGATGTTTAAACTAGTTGTTAAACACATGCGTTTGCTTTTTCGTAAAAATTAACTTATTATATTAAGCAAAGCAGTATTGAACAGAATGTAGTGGAATCAGTGACCAAATACATCCTCAAATACATCCTGTTCCTTTCTGTGGAAATGTTATCTCTGTATATCTGTTATGTAAACTGAGGAACATGAGTCTGCCCTGGAGAAATATCAGCTGCTATATCTGTTTGTGCTTCTCCATGTGACCAGAATAGATGTTTGATCACCTTTTTTTTTTTTCATATTAAAACTATGTGCCTCTTAGGCTGATTTCACACTGCAAATCTTAATGCTTAGATGCAATATTTTGACACTCATCCCAATTTTTTTAATTATTTTTTTCTGCCTGTTTACATTTGTCTAGGACTGTGTTAATATTAATAGTAGGGATTAGCATATGTACCAGAGGATTGAAGTGACTCCAGTGATCAATCACACAATAATTGGCGTGAAGTTTTTCAAATGATTGGCTTTTACCTTTGGTCTGATTGGGTAAAATTAAGACAGCAACTAACTGTCTCAATTGTGTAACATTGAAGAAAGATTCAGAATTAAGAGAATCAGATATGAGTGGTTAGCTATAATCATTGTTATCTTAGTATTATTTATAAACTAAAATTAAAACGTTAATTCATGAAATGAGTAAATAATAGTATAAGTTTATGTGCTGTATGTTAAGTATAGTTTTTATGTGCTTTTTTCATTTTTATTAATTTATTTTCTCTTTCGCTTTCATTTTTATTTCAGTTTTAGTCATTTTAGTACTTAATCGTTTTTGATCTGATGTTTATGTTTTATATGGTTTCAGCTTTATTTCAGTAACAGAAAACCATTTTCAGTTGTTATCGTTTTCTGACTGCAAAATAACAACACTGCGTGCAAGTCAGATGGCATTGGAAAGCTGGATGCTCAAAAAAAAATTTGGGGTTTTATTTTTGCCATTTACATACATGCAACAAGGCCAAGTCTGTGTTCTGGATGTCAATGAAAAACAGAATTGGTTGACAGCACCTGTTGTGCTATCATTTTCACCCAGGTGAGAGAATTTCATTCTAGCTGTTTATCCAATAAGCAGCACGAGGAAAGCTTTGAGTGAAAGCTTCTCAGCCAATCAGCGGCTTCTACCCAACATGTGGTCTCTGCTCATAGGCTGCATCATCACCAGCAAGTGATCCAATGAAATGAATGACGTTGGCACGCAAGCTTTTCAAGCAAACTCAATGAGACAGACACAGACGGTAGCTATTAGCTAATATGAAACGCAGAGCAGCTTGTTTGTGCTGCAGAAAAGCGCTAAAACAGAGGCTTTTTTGCCTTATTTTTATTGGCCCATCCAGTTTTCTGGAGGACCACCTACAATCAAAATCCCTGCGCCGCTAGTGGTTGACAGTGTAAATGTAGCAATGGATCATCACAGAATGTTTTCTTAATGTTCTAATGATTGTGTTCGTGTGTAGCAGGAGAGGGCCGCAGTGAACTGGATGAGCTGCAGGAGGAAGTGGCTCGCCGGGCCAAGGAGCAAGAATTACAGAGGCGAAAGGAAAAGGAGAAAGAGGCGGCCCTGGGCTTCAATCCCAGACCCAGCAAGTTCATGGATTTGGACGAGCTCCAAAACCAAGGTACGGCGTCAGCATGCCGCGAAAGGGTGAAGGGAGTGGCTCTGTCTCCGGATGCATTTCTTGGGTTTCTGCTGTGGTTTAACATTTGGAGCTTGGGACTGCTTGTGTATGTGTGTGTGAAATGCGGGTGTGCTGGTTTCCGTGCTGAAAAGCGCTATGCTATGATGTTTGTCACCTGCAGGGAAAGGGGAAGGCATTGAAAGGTGTGTGTTGGAGGCAGAGTCTCTGTTAGACCAATCTCTAAGGTTGGAACAGGCAGGAGAGGTGGCCACCGCTCTGTCTGTGGTTAACGAAGCAATGTGTAAGTAATCCTGCCCTTAGCCTGCTGCTGCTATCACTACTGCCTCAAACTTGTGTGTCTCTGCATCTCTGTGTTTGAGTGGATTTGTCTCGGTTTCAGAGTACGTGAGCGGAGTGGAGCGGCAACAATTTTCCCTCCGCGCTCCAATCATTTACGATTCGCCATTTACCACTCCGCACACTGATATCAGAAACACTGCGCCTCCTTCGCTCCCAGAGGAAATTGCAAATAAAGTATTTATAAGAATGCTTTGAAATCTCGCAAAAGTTCTGCTCATAATACATAGGCATATTAAATGGGGGAAAAAATATATACTTGGAGAATAGTTTCAATGTGATTTGTTGGGTAGTCTGCATACTTTTCCAATGAATTGCTAAGCTTATTACATGGTTAACAGCATTAAAAGTTAAATATCATTGCTGCTTTTTGCAGTGCTCATTTTGTTTTGGAAAGCAGAAAATAACTACCGTACGTTTTCACAAGTTATTTTATCTACTGGTCGCTACATTTCTTACAGATTTCTTCTCATTCGAAATCAAATACAGACAGCACTGTAAAATTACATTTGTTTGAATGCAATGCATTAGTGAGGGAGCGATTGCATGTGTGTATAGTGTTAGGCCTACCTGTTTAAAATGTGCTTTCACCCGATGCAGCCCGATCTCATTAAAGTGTATAGCGTATCTATAGCACGGATTTTATTTCTCCTACCATTTATATGCCAAAAATAGTTTTTTTCGTGCATATGATACGCCCTTTATGGCGTGTAATGCGCACACACTCCATATCTCTAATCCTTCCCAAGGGGATTACTGTGTATCATTTGCTAAAAACAATTTTTGCCGTATAAGGGTGATTCTTCAATTAGGGGAACTTTTATGTCCCCAGGTTATACATTCATGTTAAAAATACAATATTATAAAATAAACAGTTTAGTTATTTAAAATTATATTTGTTGTACCACGAAAAAATGTTATACACAAAAATCAGTATGATTTCCATTTTTAAAATTATTTTCATCACTAATATTTGGCTATTCAGGCCTTGTCCCCAACCCAGACTTCAAAACTTGTCTGCTCTGAAAATGTGATAAAATGTAATCAGTTCATTAAACAATTACAATATATGTTTAAACAGTAACTTTAAAAGGCACTTGATGCATAATTCGGGTTAATATCTGTGCAATTTGTGAATATTTTTAACAATTTAGTATTGTCCACAACAATACTGTCATTACCGCAACAGTCTATAATTACAACAAGGATATTTCTGAGGGTGAGACTTGTTTATGCCGTAACCATGGAAATGAAGACTAGAAGTGGAGCACATGTCAGCCATGAAAGAACAGTGAAATTTGATGTCTGAAAAAGTAAGTTATTTAATCTTGAATTCTTTCTGATCATGGAGTAGACTTATTCAGCGTCATTACCATAAATGTTGTAGCAGCAATATTTTGATACATTTATATATACATTCACGTGATTTATGTGTATTTAAAGTTTTTTGTACTAGCTGTTGAGTAATGTTAGCAAAACCATGACCTAGCATCTTTTTTCCTGAAAAAAATTAAAAATATCATTACCGCAACACGTCATTACCAACACACAACTTGTTGTGATGGTAATGACAAGTGATGGTGGTAATGACATGTTCCGTGTCACTATCTATATCATATTGTGTGTTTTATTAATTAAGTTAAAGAAGCATAATACTGTGGTTTTACAGTGAAACTTAAGTGATAGGTCTTACTTCATAAAACAATTTTTTCTCATTTTTTTAACCAGAATGGCTTCCAAGAAATCAACAGAAAGGTCTAGAGATTATAGAAAAAATTGAAGGGAGATCCTGTAAAATATCAGCAGTATGTTTACAGAGAAAAAGAAAGATACAAAGAAGAAAAGAAACAGGAAAGCTTAAAGTAATCTCACACTTTAAGGCATTTTTCCACTACACAGTACCAGCTCGACGGTGTTAGGCCTACCACTCATAAGCAGTGTGGAACCTGTGTTAGGCTGGGTCCATACGTTGCGGTCCCTACAGTGACGGGAGTGTGTGATGCAAATCACGCACGCCAATTACATTGGCTCGTTCAATAGTACTCGAAGAACATAGGCTCTCTGGCGCGATCCCCATTCAGTCAACAGTCGACAACGTCCTCCGTTCCCTCCTTCAGGGAACGGTGGGTTGCATACGCAACCAGGGCGATTTCTTTTTAACAACACTCACCAAAAGTCATTATTTTAAGCCTTTAAATTTGCTTTACGTATCAGTGCACTTTTCATTTATGTCATTACCAAAACACTATGTCATTACCAGAACAGTATGTCATTACCGCCACGTTGCTTAATTTACAGCAAATGTACCTTTAAAAATGTTTTATGTTCAATCCTGAGGTGCTACATGAAAAGCCTAATAAAATACTCATTCACCTATTCAAAGAAAAAACATCTAAAATTAATTTTCCAGAAATTAAACAAAAGTGTGCTTTGACGAACACAGAAAAATACGTTTTTATGGTAAGAACAAGAAAATATCCGTAATTCGCTGAGTGGAAACATTTTGTTTTTTATACGCATTGTTAAAGGTTAAAACTATTTGCAAGATAAATGAGTTTAAATGATCTCCTTGATACATTCTGTGCGTTATAAGACTTTTTGATGTTGTGATGGGAATGACATTTTGAAGTGCCAGTTGACAAATAGATATAAAATACTCAAATAATATTTAAGCTCAGTTGCGGCCATTATTATATCTTCACATCAAAACATGTAAACATTGTCTTGACATAATTCTAACAAAATTTTACCAAATTTCATTAATCAAAATCTAAGATGGCAAAATAGCCCCCAATTGAAGAATCACCCATAAATGGCTCGAGAAATAAAATTTGTGCTGAAGATTACTCACTTGAGATCATATTCAGTAGGCCACTCATCAAAAAACACTCATCAAAAAACAAAATCTGATTTCAATGATCCACCTGTATCATGATAGATAAATGTGTTAAACGTGTGAATCGGTACTAAAACTGCAGGTCTATAATGGGCCGTTGGCATTAATTGTACTCGTGATGGAGCGGTATTGGAGCGCTCTAAAATCCTCTCCGCACTCCACTCCGTTCACATACTCGGGTTTCAATGTAGAGACTGCGTATTGTAATGATGTACATTATAAGCTATGCTGTGTTTTGATTATAGTCAATGATGGTAACTATGTTGAGATCCACGTCAGCCAATAACTATGTCCTGCTGGCTGATAAACAGAAGCCAGTGGGTTGAAATAATTTAAAAACCCTAATAAATTTGACCATATTAATATACTTATTATATTTCTATATTAGGTATTTTATTGAAAAAACCCTTATCGGTTGACTACTAGTCACTACACAATGTACATCCTGAAGCATATATCTGATCTTAACTGGAATTAAATGAGCAGAATCTGGGGGCTGGATTTAATGAAAATAGTGTGCCTGCTTAATATGATTATTACGGTAATCTGCATGCAGACAAAACATTTGGCGTTCAAAGTGTTTAGTTGATCAGTTAGTCTTCCAAGAAAAATATATATATATATACATACATACATACACACACACACACACATATATATATACATTTTTTTTTTTTTTTTTTTTTAAGAATTGCACTTAGGTCCTTTCCTGCAAACTTCTTAGAATTTTACTTGAGAAACTTCCTAACTTCTTTAATATTTTCATGAATCCAGTCCCAGAACTATCAGTTTTTATAAATGTTAATAAAAATGCTGTCTGTCTTTCTGTCTGTGATCAATGTGAAAGGCTTTACTTACCAATATCATTTTTGTCTGTCTGTCTTGTGTATGTCATACCCTGAGGTTTGTCACTTATGGGTCGTACATATGTGCGCGCGCACACACACACACACACACACTGCACACACTCTCTCTTTCACACCTTTTATGGCCTGGCCCCTGTGTGTTACCTACACCTCACTCCCCTACCTGCTTCCTGCTTCAGTTTCCAGAGCCTCTGTAGGGTTGGGTAGAGTGCAGCTCATGGTGAAAGTATTGTTGTTCTGTAAATATTTATAATTAATTATACTGAGATACGGTATTAGGCTCGGGTAATTTGATTTTCTTTTAGTTCAATGGCTTAACTACAATTCATTTTGATTTAAGTCAACTTCATTATAATTTAATCATTTTGTGCTTGAGAGAATTTAACATTTTGTGTAAGGATTTTATTAGGTTCCCCCATCAACCCTACTTGTGTGACCCAGTCGGTCAAACATCATGATCCTTTTCATTTCAGTTCCCTTTAATGTGTTTGCATGCGCCCCATGACTCGGCTCTTTATTTTCTGCATCTGTTTCATTTTTCTTTTGCCTATTTTTGTTTTGTTTTGTTTTGTTTGCGTTGTAGCTAAACTCAGGCATACCTTGCATGAGAGCAGCGCTAACGCTCAGGGCAGGATGCAAAAGTGCATGAGGAGAGCACGAGGTCTGCAGCAGCGCATGCAGCAGAAGCAACAGGAGGAAGAAAAGGAACAGAAACAGCCCCTCAGGTACCTGCTGCTGGCTGCAGTTGTGTGTGTGTGTGTGTCTGAGCTCCAGGAGCCCCGCACACAAGAAGAAACAACATGCATTTTGCCTTAAAAACTAAAAAATCATCATTATTGTTGCTTAAAGGATTGAAAGTCAGGTTAGTGTAAGAAACCATATTGCAACGCCCTGCCCAGGTAATGTTACTCTTTTAGAGAGACTGAAATGAGTCTGTAGACTGCATGACATCATCAAGAAGAACTGATTCAAGATAACTGACTCACAGTTCACGGTTTATTATCAGAAACTCATTGTTATTTTTTTTGTTCTGCATTCAGTGAACAGTCTGTCCCGGTCCAAATACTTCTGACTAATGTTAAAGAAGAGGATGAGAAGGCAGTTTCAGAAGATGCATTAAGACCACCATCACCTCTCCACATGAAACCTCAGTCTATAAATAAACCTATTTCTGAAGCCCTTGACCCTGCTGTCTCCTCCTACCATACAGACACACTTTCTCAGCAGCAGGGCTGCGCAGGGGACAACTCCAGTCCTCTTGCTGTTACAGAGAATGAGAATGTGCCACACTCACACACGTGGGGCCCCAGAAACCCCGTCACCATCGAAAACTCTCTTGTACAAACTGCTAAAAAACGCAGTTCTGCCACTGTGCCTGTTAATGGCTGCGAGGCTCCTCTCCAGTCCTCGATTCCACTCAATACGCCCTCTGGTCCGACTAATTTCAGTGCTCGTCACACACCTTCCATCTCTGATCGCTCAAGCTCTGGGGAAGGACTTCAAATCCCACCTCGACCTCAGTCTCTCCATGGCCTAACCCAAGCACCCCACAGCCGCGCTTCTGATGCCTGTCAAAAATCACTCCCGGCACCCTCACGCAATTGGTCCTGTCGCAGTCTGGGACGTCCCGATCGCAGTCCTACCGTGATGGACTCCTCCCTGTACTCTCCAGCAGACTTCCGCCCCCCCTCATCCCCCTGTCCTCCAACCCTTTCATCACCAGCACTGGAGCAGCATCCAGCCGGCCCTATGCCTGTGGAGAGGTGGGCAGAGAATGTCAATCGATACTACAATTCCCAGAATTGTGTGCGGTCGGGACGTGGCTCACCCTGTGAGGAGCTGTCTGAGCTGGACTCACTTTATCAGGCCAGCTTGAAGGCTCCCAGCATGCCCCGAGCCCCATTGGGACCCAGCCCTCAGCTTGCCAGCAGATCAGGTAATTTCGAACAAGACCTCACTTAGGCTCAATATAACTTAACTATAAAATTTATTAAAATTGTAATACTACCTATTACGATGTCGTTGTCATCATTTACCGTTGAAAAGGTCTGCCACCTGCAAAAGTAGTAACTATAATAATATTAATAATGATTTATCATTTAAAAAATGTATTCAAATGATAGATTTTTTACAGTAATAAAAATGGAATAATTGATATTGATATATTATTGTTATTACTATTTATATGATAATAAATATTTTGTATATAATTAATGAGAAGTGCTTTCTAGAGACTCTTCAGGTTGTATAAATGTACTGTTTTTCTAGGACCCGCTGCTTCTCGTAAGCACAACTCTGGATTCTCTGCCACACTTGGCCGTTCTAAAACCCCCACAGCAGAGATCGAGAGGAGTGCCTACAGGACGCCAGCATACAGCACTAAACCACTTCAGAAGGTGAGTTGGCACACCGGCATTTTCTCAGTAGTATTTATAGTACTGAAGTGTGTACGTAAGAAGTAATTGTCATATGGATATGAAATGCTAATGCATTGTGTCATGTGTGTGAGCAGCCTGTGTCTGCTGTTAACCATGATGCACCACTGGGTGAGGATGAATCATACAGTGCAGAGAACCTACGACGAATTGCTCGGAGTCTCAGTGGAACTGTCATTGGAGGGCGGACTGACGTACCCCCGTCCAGAAGCTTTGTGGGTGTCTCTCAATTTAAAGTCACTTGGTCAAACACTTAAACCACAAATTATGCACTCAAAATTTAATTTGCTGCAAAATTTGCTTTCAAGTACATTTTCTCAGGATATGTGAAATGCTACCTCATGGTTTAGGAATTACAGTGTTATATTTTTGTGAACTCATTTTGAAAGAGAAATACTGCCATCTGGTGTGACTATAGTGAATGCAATAAAACTACAATACGTAGAGCAGTGGTTTTCAAACTGATGACATACCACTTCAGCTGGCAAGCTTTTTGTCAGTTATAATATTATTTATTTAGTCATTTTATTTTTTGAAATCATCTCACAGACCTGTTGGAATCCTTCATGGACTCCAGTTTGAAAACCACTGACTTCATTTTGATATTTTCTACAATTGATATGTCCATAGTCCTATTGTTTTAGTACCAAGTGTTTTATTTTATTTTTTCATTTCTGTCCTTGTCTGGCTGGGTCTTATTTTCACATTGTCTCCTCACTCATTCCTTTCATTCTTCTGTTTTATTTCTTTCATAAAGGACCCCCATGTCTCCAGGATGTCGAAGCATGTGAACGTACAACCCCCCACACGTCGCTCCACCACCTCCCTGCATGTTTTACCCCCTCCTTCCCACAATCCTCCTGCGTTCCCTCACGAACCGCAGCCCCAATACCTTCACCCAAGCCACCGCCACCATCCCGCCCCTCCATCACACCTGCACCAGCAGACACTGAGACCTTCTCATGGACAAACAGGTAACCATCTCACCCCACCCACTCGTTCAGCCTCCCTGCCACAGATGCAAGAGAGTGCCGTCTCTGTTGTTGTCTGTGATCTTGCGTTCCATCAGATTTGTTGTGGAACTGATCAAAGCACCTAAAACACTCTGGAGGGTTCAGGATAAAGAAATTAAAGTTGCACAGTTCGACTGTTTAACCTACCCTGAATGCACCGTATTCTGGACAAATGTGGGCAAAATAGTTTTGATTTATTTTTATAAAAATACTTCCCTTGATCTGAGCGGTACAAGACTTGGCTATTTTTCCAAAGTTTGCCTACTGAACACACACACACATTTTTTTTTTAACATTGTAGACTCAATTCTACAATGTTAAGTGGGTGAAAAAAAACCCTCCTTAATCTTGTATTTGGGTCAAAAATGGGCACCCATGGAAATTAATGGGAAAAACTGTAATTTAGAGCATTCTAAAATAAGCCAAAATAAGACACCAGGTGACAGCAAAGTCACTTCATCTTTAGGTTTTAGCTCTAAGAACTTATTGGAATGTTATTTTAATGTAGTTAAAAAAAATTAAAAATATAAAACATAAAAATAAGCATAATTTACATAGAAAATATGGTACTTTTTGAAGTAAATAAATTCAAAAATACCCCCAAGGCGAAGACAGTGATATAACATTTATAATAAATAAAAATTAGGATCACACCTGAGTCCTCTGTGCCCACATTTGTCCACAATTACAGGATTAAGGGCTATAAAGTGAATACGGTTTGAGGGCTACACAACAACTCAAATTATCTTTGATGCTATCTGCAGGAGATTGCCAAAAGGCCAACAAGTTTCTGGCTGTGCTTGACCGGGGTGAAGTGTTCTCCTTTGAAAACTACCACAACGTTGCACTGAACTACGCCACCCTTCCACGGGCCCTCCGTAGGACAATTTCATCCGAGCCCCCGGTGCACCAAGCGAGGTCGGGACCCTCAGTGGGTCCGGGGCCCCGGAACTACCCAGACGCAGCCTACGCTACGCTGTCCCACCCTCACCGCACTACAGCATCTAGTAGGACGATGGATGGTTTTTACAGACATCCGAAACAAAACCCATTCTCGCATCACTCCAGCCATCATCACCCGCACCAGGAGCCACCAGCCCAACCCCTCCGCCTCGATGTGCCCCCTGAGAGGGACTGGAGGGCTGGTAGGGACACTCATGTCTTCCCCAGGACAGAACCGCGTGGTGGAATGCCCCGTGGTCCTCCTGTCTATCTCTGCGGGCTGTGCAAGCAGAGCCCTGCTGAGCCCACTAGAAGCTGCTGCCAGTCCTGCAGAGCCCAAAGGAGCCACTACAGGATGACCAGCTGAGTCATACTGGAGATGGATCCTTCGACGCACTCATTCTCTGTCTTGAAAGTAAGCATAAGACCCCATGCCCATTCTGTGAAGCTCTTTACACAGCAACAAGCTGGAAGTTCTTGTTCGCTGTTTTGGCTAAAGTGAAAGACAATGACTTTCATAGCTGCTTTGGCTCAGACGTGAATGTGAGGGAGTGTTTTTGAGAGCCTATTTTAAATGCAGCTGCGGCGTTTCAACGCTGGATGGAGGACGTCACTCCCTGCACTGTTACCTACAGTAAATGTTTCCACTGCTAATTCACTTCCCGAGTTAAGTTCACTTTAATTGGCCACAATCTCCGCATAAAGCTGTGCAGAACAGAGCACTTAACTGACGCAAACACACAAAACGACAAGACTTTGCCTGCTGATATACAGTGTCTGCTTCGTATATGCACAAATACGCTTTAGTTTTTAATTAGCTTTTCGAGCTAACCTTAGTTCTGTGATTGTAATTTAACGATGTTAACTCAAGTTTAGTGCACTTCAGAAGTGTTAAGTTAGAAGCGTTCCTCTGTTGTAACTTCTCCAATTTTTATTGGAAAACAATGGTTGTGTAACTACTTCGTTTAGAGGGCTGTAACGTCATTGTGTAAGTAATCGGAGGTAGATCTGATTCCTCCAGTGTACCAACAGTCAACTTTCAAAAACCTCTTTGGCATTTGTGACGATATTTTTGTGTACAGTATTGTTCCGCCCGACAGTAGCACCAACACCTGTGATCTCTCTTTTTTTTTTTTTTACTTCTTGTAGTAGCAGCAGTTTAACTTTGATTTATACAGTATATCTTACATTAACTGTTAAGTGCAAAACTATTTCATGGTTGTTTTAAGACGTGAGATATTGAAAACAGAAGGACAGAACTGTCTGCAGTGCCTTGGTTTGTGAAAGGCAACGGAACTGGGTGCCAGTGTCCATTTTATAGATTTATAGCCTTATAATAATGCTTATTATAAAAGTGATAAATTCAAGAATTGCAGTTCACAAAACAAGATAATTTCACTTTTCCCCCCACTGGAAATTAATGACTTTTTACATTGGTTTCATTTAATTTCTTGGACGACGCTGAGGTAAAACTTGTGGCCTGAGATGTTTAGTTGTAGTCTTACACATTGAAAGTGTTTCAGCTATTAGCCAAGTTTGATGGTGCAATGTGCCATTTCATGGAAATCAAAGTATTACCTGCTCATCTTGAAACAGGGCCAAACATTATTTTTTTCATAAATTGTAGAGCATGTCAAATACCTCAACCAATCACATGCTCTCTTAGTTTTATTTCTCTAGAACAGTTTTGCATGTAAATCAGGACCTAATGATGAATCGGAGTGCCTCTGCATTGAATTCTCACTTCTTTTTTGTTGCTTGGCCAATATGCAGTGCAACACTGCCCTGGCATGATGATTACTGACAGAACATGGATCTGTGATTAATTTACCCTTTTCTTCTTTAATTAATATCCAAACAGATATGGCAAAAAAGCAAGGCTGTATATATAAGTGTGTACAGATATTCAGTCTTTGATGAAGTACGGAGGGATTCAGATTTGATGTAAATGCTGTGCTAGAAATAAAACTTGTATTTTTGCAATAAAGTTATATTAAGCTCCATTCAGGAGCAGAACGCTGTACCTTCTTTCTGTCCTCATTTCATGTCTCATTTGAAAATGATTTTGTTGAAATGAATAATACCATTTTCCCCAGCTATCTCTATCAAATTGATTTTGACAATATCCAGTTATAATGAACCCTTTTCTGCTTTAAATTGTCCCTAATCTCCAACATGAACAGAATGTCAAACAGAACAGACATTTCAATTATGGTATCAAAGTAACACAAATATTTGCGTAATAAAAAAACTGATGCTTGTATTTATGTGCCACTGTTTATATGCTAATTTAGACTTGAGAGGCCCTCCAGTGACCGTCCTGCACTGCTGTGTGCTTGTTGCATTTTTATTGTCTGTGATATATTCCCCTCTTTCCAGTTAACCTTGACCCATCATAAGTTCTTGTATAAGGATTTCAGTTGTACTTCAAACATTAAAGGGACAAATTTTGGTATGTTTTAGCTTACCTCAGGTCATCCAAGATGTAGGTGTCTTTGTTTCCGCAGTAATTTCAATTTTGATGTTTTTAGGTCAAACCGTTCGTGTCTTTCAGTCGTATAATGGAGGTATATGGGGTCCACCTCAAACAGCATGCACAGAGAAGTCCAAATTAAACATGATTTAATGACTCGTAAATGTGATGGCCTAAGACACGAAGCGAGCGCTTTGTGTGAGGAAACGAACAGTATTTATATCATTTTTACCTCTTGTTACCACAGCCACAAAGCGCCCGCGCCCTCAGATCACTTGGACGTGGGGCTTCCCGCTTTGAGGTGGTGACCATAGACCTCCATTGTATGACTGATAGACACTAACGGTTTGACCTAAAAATGTCAAAACTGAAACTATACTGCGGAAACAAAAACACCTACATCTTGGATGCCCTTGAGGTAAGCTAAAACATACCAAAAATTATTTTCAAAGTGAACTATCCCTTGAATCAGTGAGTTGTCAATGAGCTTCTAGTTTTGTATTAGTAATGCGATTGTTTCAGTTCCTTAGCAACAAGAACAACTTCTAAAACTAGGAAGGAGGTCTAAACAAGTCACAATGTTAATGTAATGAATGTCTTTGTGTATAAAGTTAAATTGAGCAAAAGGAAAACTAAGTATGAAGGCAAGTTGAAGTAATTTGACTGCTAAATGAGATAAGGTAAGCAAATAAGTACAAGTAGGCCAGTTAAATGGCTTATGTGTTGCTTTAGAATAGTGCAGGATGTGTTCTAGTAAAGTGTTAACCAATGTAACATGGCAATGACAAAATAGTCTGCAAATCAATTGCAAAGTAAACTGCAACAGGTCAGTGGAGCAACTACCAATTCAGTTTGGTGTGAATTGACTTGTGCTGTCTGGGAGGAAAAGAGCAAAAGGTCTTTGAGTTTCTTCCTTACAGATTCACAAAGAACTCGAGTCAAAGCAGCATCTGCAGATAAAGGACAGAAACATCAGCTCTTAATTAAAGCATTTCCTTACAGCTGAGGACTGGACGTAAAAGGTACTCTTTTACCTGGTAAAAGTCATATTTTATTTATTTATTTTTTAAACCAGGCCCCTGGTAAACTGTTTTTTGGTTTCCTTTCAGCTGATTAATATGATGCATGCAAGTTGATGTGGCAGTTTGACAGCTTAAAACCTTCTCATCTACCTGCAATGGTGACATGGATGGATTTGTGCTCTTTATGTTCTCTCTCCAAGTTGCTATGGTAAGAAAGCATTTGCTAAGAACATAAATGTTATCAAAGTAATATTCAGGCTTGAGTACACATTCTAAATTCTCTACAAAGCCTCAAGCTCATTTTCTTTGGTAATATGCCCTTAATCAAAAAAAAAAATAATGCCATTCACACTCTTTCAAACTAGCACCAGCTGTGCTTCCTATCTTACTTACCGGACAATAATGTTCTGGATGCTTGTATTCTGCAGACAAGAAGATGTATTGATGTAGTGCCATCGATCCATCAAACCAGCCATCTGTGGTTCAATATCGCTTAGAAGTGTTGCCTTGTCCATTCAACTGAAAATGTAAGTGGGCCATTCTAGGGGCATATCTCACGCTGGTGGATCACCTGTTATTGTTCTGTTGTCTTTCTGATCAAACGGTGAGAAATTGCACTCTTGAACAACAGAAGCAAACCATAATCTCTTATTTGTTCGAGACACTGTCAAGGCATGTGAAAGCAAAAGATGCATCTTTTACCATGATCCATAAAACGACCATGCAGATGGTATGATCAATGGCAGGGGAGTTATGCCTTAACTGAAATCTGATGGTCCTGAGGGGTTGTGTTGGTTTTAAATCACTGTACTTTCCTCTGCGGTGTAATAGATTTTGTTCTAAAAGCGCACCATTTGGAATTACTTCTAAAGATTTAATGAGAATTAATCTAATCAGCATGGGAAGTCTTCATGCTGCCAGTAACATGCAAAGTGTACGCTTAACGCTTCAATCTGCATTGACCATGAAAGTCACGTTTCATCTAAGCAATTCTTTAAGGAAACAAGAGTTTTTTAGTAAAAAGGGATTAAAGGGATACTCCACTTTTTTTTGGAAATAGGCTCATTTTACAACTCCCCCAGTTGTTGAGTTTCACCGTTTTCAAATCCATTCAGCCGATTTTCTGATATTTAGAAGAATATCAGTAACCAAACAGTATCTGGTCTCATTGACTTCCATAGTAGGAAAAAAATATACTATGGAAGTCAATGAGACCAGAAACTGTCTGGTTACTGATATTCTTCTAAATATCAGAAAATCATCTGAATGGATTCAAAGATGGTAAAACTCAACTGTTTAACTCTGGGGGAGTTGTAAAATGAGCCCATTTCCAAAAAAAGTGGAGTATCCCTTTAATCTACTTAATAGGTGAACAGATCTTATTTTTTCTATATTATATATAGTCCAGAACTCCACATCTGAACCAAACTTCTCCAAGATGCTTGGATATTTTACCATCTGTGGACTAATGGGCTTTGATTCAAAACATTACCCATAAAACACTTGGTTCTTGAGCTCCTTTTTCCTTCTATTATTTTGAGAGCATCATGCATGCATGGATACATTTGTTCGATTTTATCGAACCTATTCATGTTACTAAATTGGCAGTGCTGAACTAATCCATTCTTTCACCTATTCTACAATAGATGAACTACAAGTAGTAGAGTGAAGATTACTATTTTTGTTTTATCTCACACAGAAATTATTAGGCTATTAATGCTTATTGACTTTGTGTCTCTTGCTTTCATCTTTTCAGGTTTTCCTGTTTTCATTTCAAACTAGAGCTATTTTGTGCAATGTGAAGTATAGCTTTATTACAGCTACCCATTATGATTGTAGGGGGCTTCGGCCCCCTGTTTTTAATTTTGAGCCACCTAAAAACAGATTTTTATTTTTATTTTTTCTATGTCTACATTTCCGAAATGCACTTCCTGTACAGCTGCTTTGAAACAATATGTATTGTGAAAAGCGCTATACAAATACATTTGAATTGAATTAACATCCGAATCTTTCCAGGAAAGCAGACCAAAAATATTGTCGACTCATCCAGCACTACACAGATTTTTGTCCAATCAAATAAGAGGTCCTCCACCTAGTAATTAATTTTAGTTCGATTCACATTGTATTTATGATAAAACCATCATATTTTATTGGAGTAAACATGAAAGCAATACAAAAATACACAACAATGACCTGACTTGGCTATAACTTCACTTAAACTGGAATATAAACCTGAAATCAAACATGAACTTGAACATTACAACATCAAAGCTAGACAAAGAAACAATTGGACATGACGCGCCAAGTACACTGCAGCCGTTAACGCCGGACAGAAGTCACACCACCATATGGAAAGAAGCGTAAATGGATGGAGAAGCGTAGTTTACTGTAAAGCTATGTCTTAGTTTTGCTTATCTTGGTTAAAGCCTAATACAAATCAGCATGAAGTTTTATCATCTACTCTCACGTAATGGAAATCTTGTGCTCATGTTCTTGTAACACTTAGAATAGAGTCCATTGAGAATAACCATATCTTTCAAGGATTCCTTGAAAGTCTGTATAGAATTGCTATATGTGCATGGTCCATGGAGGTCAGTTGCATAAACTCCTTAGACTACTCTTACAAGTTAGTCATCTGTTTCTTTATCTTCAAGATAGGTTATATTTTTTTCAACTTGGTCTTAGTTGAATCAGAATAAAAGACTGATTAGCTCTAATTGCTTATTGATCAGACTAGTTCTTAAGACAAACTCTTAACTTAGCGGCTGTGTTTATTCAACTGGTCCCTGGAATCTCGTTCAGAATCAGTGTGAAAAGTTGATATATTATATATTCACATAATAAGTCATAATATGCTATACTCTGCAGTATTTCAAAGCGAAATATACTTTCCTGTGTCCATATAAATGAATGTAGCATAACTCAACATTACAATACACATATAAAACTCTCTCAGGTATGCTGATTCTGACATCATAGTGAGTTGTGATAATATCCTCTGCTGTGATAAAGTAGTGTTGTCCAAATCCTTGCTGTGTGAATTCTGCTTCCATAATCCTGCCCGTGTGTCATCAGATAAGTGGGATTATTTTGAATATGTGATGAGACTGTGAATGTGCTTCAGCCTCACTGCTGTGAGTGCTTGTTTGGTCTGGTGTTTTATTACAGTCTAATAAACCACCAATGGAATGTCATTACTTTTTTATGTGTGAAGTAAATGTTTTATTTCAGTTTTTGAAGGGGCTCTAACGACAATTAAAGAACTCGGTGAGGTTGTTCATGATGGCTGCTTTATAGCATCTCGTAATACCATCATGTGTTTCAGTGAGATCCCTTCTTTCCATCAATTACACAGTGATTTTGGCTGTTTTATAAAGAGAAATACTCCTAAAAGACAAAAACACATTTGTTCTGTAGTGAAAAGCTGAAACTAAGGGTGATGGATATGAGAAATGTCTTGGTATGTGACCCAGTAAGGATTATTCAGGGACTAGAATCTTTCCCAAATTATTCAAATGAGCTCAAATCTAAGAGGTTTTAAAAATGAGCTGAAAATGCCCCCGCTGTATGTTGTGTGATTGGAGAGGATACTGGGGGGAAGATATCAGGTAATTATTTTGGAAAATATTTCTTGTATTCAGGAAAGTGTTTGTGATGTTTGGTAAATGCCAGTGTTATTTATTTAGTCTGGAAAACTGGTGGTCTGGTTTTGCACTAGACTTGTGAAGAGATGCAATTCAGTGTCGCAGGTGCCAACATTAATCCTCCATTAGCACAGCATCTGACCTCTTTTTCTTATTGCCTTCTATTTACAGTTCAGGCTGAGATTAGGGTTATTTTAATATATGAATAATACCATTGACTTTAAGTCTAACTTTTGGAGTTTGAATCTTTTTAGAAGGAGATGTAGCTGCAGTTTTCTAGCTGTATGAAATACGTGATTTGAAGTGAATTTGGCATGAATGTTGGTTGCCTATCCTGACCCAGGAATAGATTTTGTCATCTGAAGGACATTATATTTTTGTGAATTTCTCTGACATCATGGATGTCCTGTAAAGAGCACAATTCATGGCATTTCAGAGATACCAAATGTTTGCAATGACAACTGCCTCTCCTTGGACTGTAAAAAATGACACTTTATCAAATTGAACACTCTTATGGAAATATAATAATATTTTTTAATTATACAAATTTCAATCTGACAACATTTTTAATTGCCATGAATAAACTTCTCAGGAAAATGTTATGGGGGTTCAAATCAAATTATGACTTTCTGTTATACGAAACAAGACATTGATTTCATACATGCTTACTGTAGAGGAGGATGTTTATAATGCATGTTGGGAGACAACAACTGAATAGGGAAAGGAGTTTCAGTATTACTATGACATATCAGATATTTTTATGAAAATATTGCCAATTACTTCTTGCCTTATTGCATTTATTTTTTATTACATGTTGCCCCAAGAACACATTATAATGCAAATTACATGCAATGAAGATACATTGCATAAAAACCTCTATGGCCATTTTACACATAAAGCAAAATGGTAATAATTCTGTTATTTTTCATAACATATCGTTGAGAATCATCTTTATACAAAGTGTAGTACACTATATAAAAATATGAAAACTAAAAAGTGATTGATTTGTTTTAAAAATTCCATTGATTTTGCCTATTCATGTCTTTTAATTTAAAAAGAAATTGATGTCCTCTACAAAGGACATAGCTTAACACATGAATAAAATATCATTTTGCATCAAATCAGCATTCAATGTTATTCCTGTGTTACTTTTATGTGACTGCAGAAGCACAGATGTTATCATTTGCACCTTGAGCTGTTGGCTAGATTGATTGTTCTGCTTCTGCATACAAGTATTGTTCATTGTGACTGCCTGATTCTGGCCTGTCAGTAAGAATGATTCAAGAGAAAGTGATTTAACCCCTGCAGGGAGTGTGTTGACTGATCAGGGGGCTGTTGAACTGCCTGCATGAAGTGTAGGTGTGTGAGAGTGACCATCAGCCTTCTGGGCATCTAAACCAAAGTCACACTGAGGCACGTGTGCTCTGAACCTCAAATATTATTTTTTTTAAAATACTTGCAGGTCTAATAATGAAATAAAAAATCGCTTAGTTGTACTTAAAAAAAGTACACTTTCGTGACTGTTGGTTGCAACAACCCCTGTGATTAAAAAAAAATCAAGCTTTTAATGTTGTTTATGACTATGTGGTGTTTTTAATATATTTAAGATAAACCATGTGCAAATTCATAAGTCATTGCTAGTATTGACCAAACCAAAAACAAAGAACCAAAGACAGTTTCAAAATCGTGGTTTGAAAATGTTGGTGTTTTTGACGTCACAAACTACCTTGCAAACAATCAGGTCCGGATGATGGTGGGGAGATCATTCCACCAGCATGGAACCGTTCTAGAGAGTGATTTTTTTGGCTCTCTGGTGGTACCACGAGCTGTCGCTCATTGACTGATCGTAGGCTCCTAGTAGGACTTGTAGGAGTGAGTGAATGGAGGAGGGAGCTGAGTCTGTGATAGATCTGTAAGCAAGCGTCACTGCCTTGACCTTGATGCGAGAAGCGAGTGGTAGCCAGTGCAGAGGGATGAACAAACGAGTGATGGGCTCGTTGAAGATGAGACGAGCTGCAGCGTTCTGAATCATTTGTAGAGGTTTGGTTGCACATGATGGCAGTCCAGCCAGAAGAGCATTGCAGTAATCAAGCCTAGAAATAACCAGTGCCTGGACGAGAAGTTGTCTTGGATGCTCAGTTAGGAAAGGCCTGATCTTCCTGATGTTGTGCAGTGCAAACCGGCATGATCGAGTTGTCTTTGTAATTTGGTCTGTGAAGGTCAAAGTAATCACATTGACTTTGAACTATAGCCTAATAGTCTACATTACATCAATCGCAATTAAATTACAATTAACTTTTTAAAAACATTACATTCAAGTGGGGCCTATATTATTTCGATAATAAATACTCTCTTTAAAAGTATTCTACAGAGAAAAGACTTGCATTGAGTCAAAAAAATTGTGAAATTATATTTTCTCTATTTGCTATGCTGATAATTGGGATTTAGAAAACAATGCAAAATAGGCTACAAATCTTTCCACAGAGCCTCTGTGACACACAGGTCTCATGTTTTAAACCTCACTGCATGTCTTTAATGTTTCATCATATTAGCCTACTGTAGTGTAAAATTAATAATCTAAAAAAGGCACCATTAAATGTCAATTAATGTCATTAGGAGCCTAACTTCTCATACAAAGTCTATTTAAAGTATGTGGAATCACGTCATTATGTTACTCTAATCTCATAACAGTCGTCTGAGTGGATGTTAAATCGGAAGATGTGCGAGAAAAAAACTACTACGGCGCGCGAATTGACAGTTTTATTGTGTTCTTTTAGCCCTCCCATAAAGTGAGCACGACTGAACAGAATCTGACATCTGGACGGCACTCTCTCTAATCGCGTTTAACGCTTTTGTTTCCGACTGAAAAGTGTTCTGGTGTGCCGCTCTCCCTCACTTACGAGAGTGATGGCTGGCGGCGCCGTGAGCTCAGCGAGGAAGGGCATCTCGTGCCCGACTCAAGACCCGAACTGCACGCGCATCGTGGAAAGCCTCTCCTTGTCCTTGTGGAACAACTCCGTGATGAGCGCGTACAGGCTGGTAGATTTACCCCCCACGACCACATCCGTGAGTTAAGCTTATTTCTCCATGATTCTGCCTGTTCAGTGTTTTTCATATTTTCCTTTGGAGATGTCCAGGTGTAGCCCACTTGAAAAGATGTGACCAAATGATTTAAATGGTTATCTTTTCATGTTATGGATTTGGATCCAGTTAAATTTACAGTAGACTACATTTGACATGGACAATATTCATATGTTTGTAATGTAGGTTAATAATATGTTTATGCTGTGCTTTTTAATATAGGCTAGAGCGATAATATTTTAATAGCCTACATTTTAAATAATACACACTTAAACTGTTATAGATATTTAAATGCAATTAAAAGTCTGTCTGTGTCGAACTATGCAAAAGCGGGAAAGTTTTGTAAACAATGTAAAAACAATATTTTAAGTTATTTGTAATAGCCATTTAAACACATTTGAACCTTTTCGACTTTTTTCAAGTGATGTGGGACAGTGATATTAAGTTTATGCTGCAGCTTAAATATAAAGTGATGCATTTAGAGAAACGTACTGCCATGGAAAGTGAGAAAAGGTCTGTGTTGCTTCTGGGTGGGAAAAAAAAACCTCATATCAGCTTAACCAGCTGTTTTCTACCATGGTAGCTGGTTTGTCACTGGTCTAAGAACATCTACCAGCCTTGACCAGTTTGATCAATCTCTAACAGGTTGACTTCAACCCACTGGCTGGTCCATCTAATCATACATTAGCAGTCAATCAAAACCATGTAAAACCAGTTACCATCAGGATGGTGAGGGCAACTTAGAAATATTTAAAGATTTTAACTTTTTCTAATTTAATAAATTTGACAAATTTTGATTTATAACACAGTTAAATTATACCTTTCCAAGAGTGAAGATATTCTGATAGGATTTATTTAAAAAAAAAAAAGAATATTATGACACTCATCCTGTTTGAATATTCATGCTTAGAGTTAAGACTGTGTCTTTATGCTACTGAGTAAAGTCAGGTGCATTGCATTTTTCTTAAGTGAAATCTCATTTCTTAAACACAGATGACTGAAACTGTCCTTCACTGTTAATCACTACTTAATTTGACCATCTATTGGGTCTGTGGGCTCAGCCTGAAGTGAGGTTAAGTCCTCAGGGTTTTCCCTCTTAAGATCATTGTTAAACACTGAGCTAACTAGAGGAGTCAGTGCTGCAGATGAGTACCACTGCATTACATATTTATGCTAATTTGGCATGTCTTTGGGGTGTTAGTTTTCTCGCAAGTTGCATGTGGATGTTGCAGTTTCTATCTCTGTCTTCCGTCATTAAATGAACTGAACAGTCTGGACTGCTTCTGCTCACGGGTGTCTCTACCCACACAACACAAAGTGTGGTAGATTTGTGTAAATTTATTAGCCAAACTAGAAAACTAGGTTTAAAGTTAAAAGGCTGTTTTAATCTGCATATATTCCGATTTTATAATTTAATTAGCTGTGAGATAGTTTTTTTTTAGAGTGACATCCAGGCTACTCATTTAGTTTTTTAATCAGAATAAATCTTTAACTAATGATTTGTTCCCATCTTTAATTTAACATGTCTTCATCAGAAGATGAGATCTAATTTTTTTACATAAATCATCTACAAATTTAATAAGACAATATTTTTACACAAAATGAACAGAGGGGGTGCTGTATTTATTATCCTGAATATCCTCTATTTGAGTGGAATCAAATGAGGGAGACCTTAAAATGGTCCCTAAAAGCTAGTACTGTATTAACTGTAATGAATCATATTTTGACCGCTCTGAGTTTTTTTTTATGTTACTCTGAGTCTTCAGCATTTTGTTTAGGAGGTTACATATTTGGGTCAAGTAAGACTTATTAGGTGATGATGACTCATATTTGCATAATTCATATACACACTTGTGTCATAAAATATGACCCAGAAACCCAATGACACCCACGGCTGATAAGATGTTATTTCCATAGACATAGATTTAAGTTTATCAATAACATTAATGGGGGTTTAGCGTTGTCTTGCTCATTTGTCTCAATCTGATGCCAGCAAAGTCACAGGAATACCAGCTTCACTGACCATGAGGGATTAGGATAAAAAAAAAATAGCATCATAATCATGCGATTATAAAATAATAATATTCAGGTTCATGCTCACATATAGACCTCTCAATGTGTTTTTTCTCCTGTGAGCAGAGACATGCAGAGTGAATATTGTGTTGTAAATGTGGGACAGTTTGTTTGGTTCAGGAGAGTTTGTTGAGTTTGGGTTCTTGTGCTTTATATCGGTTTGTGTGGGTGCATAAATCTTTATTATGAAAACTAGTATTATTGTGAAACCTTCATTGCCATTCACCATAAACAAAATTAAGAAAACCAGTGTTTGAGACTGAAACCCATATTGAATATTAACCAAAACAGACTTATTTGCCAGCCAGCTTTGAACAAAATTGGCATGTCTTTTACAGTGCCGCTCATAAAAATGCAGCATTATTTCTAATTTAAAGAGAAAAATGCCCCCAAAAGGACAACAGTACACAGTGGAACTAGGAAAAATGGTTTGAGATGAAAGAGTGGGACGGCACTGTGTGCGTTTAGCCGAGCTCCGGCAGCTTTGCTTTCTAACTGAGCTAACTAAGTAATCATGGTAATGCAGTCAAACAAGCACAGTGGCATCTGGAGCGGAAGAGAACTTATCCAGATATGACGGACAGCTGTGAATGACCGTACATTCATATCTGTTAGCTGGACCAAGGACGCAGTAACGGCAATGTTTCATTTTTAAATACTTTTTTCCAATTTCAAGAATGACGTAACGATAAATAAAAACCAACATACTGATTTTTACATAGCAGATTAATGTGTATTTGCAGGTTTAGGATAAGGTTGTTAATGTACATGTACAAGTATCATCAAAGATAATTAAAGACCTCTAGAATTGGTTCTGTCTTAACGTTGTTTGGCTTAAAATAACGACACAACTAATGTACATTAAACAGGGGAGTTGAGGTTTTGACATAAATTTAATCACATTTAAAGGAACAGATTTGCGGAGAGAAAAAAACGAAGACATGCTTTTTTATTCTTTAATATGCTTTAATCATTTCAAATGATTTGCTTAATATAGGTCACTAAGCACTATAATTAATTCTTTAAAATTAATTACTTTCTGATCTACTAAACTGCTAAATGAATGTAATGGGGCATATCATAAATCATGCATATTATATAACATAAGCAAGCATAACCTTAATATAGCACAATTTACTGTATACACTTCATTTTAATGATAAGCTGTAGTTTGGAATTCATTGTGGTCGAATCAAACCTCCCATTTTGTGAATCAGTAGTTTACAATGACAGTGAGTTTTATGTATTCTCAGGAGTGGTATGAATAATGGAAGAAAAAAAAAGATCGTGTGTTGTGTTGCTTTTGTGAGGCAATCCTGTTTCCAGCACAAATGTTTTCATATCAGTTATCCCACATTTTAATTTCACCACCTTTAGGGGGTACAATAGCTTGTCACTTAAAGAGACATCTTTGCACCTTTATTTATCAATAAACGATCATAGTACGCCTTCCTTTAAGGGTACATATTACTGCTCTAAGGTATAATATTCACCTTTAAGGGGTATATAAGGTACAAAGATGTCCTTTTAAGGGTACTGTCCAAGTGACAAGTTTTATTTTTCTAAAAGTGCATCTGCATGATCACCTGCAGTAAATAAACAATACTTTTACAATACCCCTTTTTTCTCTGGAAAAACTATGGTTTTGAAGAGGCTGGTTCATCTTTGAAATATCCCATGCAGTTACCGACTGTCATATATTATACCCTGAGTGAGAAACAGATGTGGGACTCAAACAGTATCTATTTCATTGGAATCCTTCTCATTCCAGAGAAATAAAACGCTCTTATCTCAGCCCTCAAAGTTTTTCATGGCTTAGATCTTCAGTTAACCCCAAACTCAGAAGTAATGAATGAAAACACACAGCAATGGCTACTGCTATATTTTGAAGATCCTTCAGAACAAATAAATTCACCAGTGCAGCTCAGGATGGAGGTGGTTTAATAAATGTTTTGATGACACAAAATGGCCCATGTCTGTTGAAGTTGAAGAGAAACATGATTTGTATCAATTAAGTTTGGGTTTTTATAAGGGGAACCATGTTCATACATCTCCAAGGTTTTAATCTTTCTTTCAACATGTCTGATTTTTATCAGCTATACAGTTCAAAATATCATTTGCCATCCTTGGAAGAAACGAACAAACAAACAGGGAAAATCGCTCTAGTGGTAAATGCAAAAAGTAAAATTCAACTTAAGTAATCATAGTAAGGACAGCGAAATAAATCGGCTTATAAAAATGTGAGCAATAATATCATATATTGAATTTTGTTTGTTTTTGTCAAAGGATGTGTCTAAGCAAACCTATTTTGGCAGTGTCTAGAAGAAACTAGCAAATTTAGACATGTTGCGTGAAAACCATGAACACATCTACACAAAAGATATGACCCAGAAAAAAATGCATGATTCTGTATAGCTGACTCTGTGTTTTACATATTAAACAAATGAATGGTTTTGACAGTTTGTTGGAAAAGAGTTGTCTCCACATCATCACTTGACATATACCAAAGGCAATTACCGAATCTGCTTTGTCATATTTCCTCCGTCATGGCCACATGGTTACACTCATCTGCTGTGAAATGACTTTTCCTGGAGTGCTTGTCCTGCATAGATACAGCCATCTCGTGTGCCCACAGCTCTGACACTTAAAGGTCTTTTCATTAAAGCTTTTCCTGAGGAAAATGCTGTAAACAAATGTCTGCCAAAGAAATGTTTGCGTTTGATCATAATTGCTCTAGGAAAGCCAAATATTTCCTTTTTGTACCATATCATGCCAAGCGAAATAAATAAAAAACATAATGAATAATTTAGAATGGCTCAGAATTAATGGCACCCCTGGTAAATATGATCAAAACTTGCTTTAAAAAATAAATCTGCATCGTTTATCCTTATGATCTTTCATTCGAAAAATTGCCAAAAATCTAACCTTTCATTGAAGTAAAAGAATTGAAAGTCACATTATGAAATAAATGTTTTTCTCCAAAACTCGTTGGCCACAATTATTGGCACCCCTAGATTTTTTTATGAGAAAAAAGTATATTCCCATTAATATGTACCTTTTAGCACACCAGGGGGATTAGGAACATGAAATTGTCCAGCTATGACTACTTGTTTCATAGCAGTTTAAATATGAGGAAACACAAAGACCAAATTCCTTTAATCATCTAGCCATCCATGAGTAAAACTAAAGAATATAGTTCTGATGCGCAGCAAAAGATTGTTAAGCATCACAAAATAGAAAGTGGCTGCAAGGATGTGTGTCTATATTGTCCTAATGGACGGTGAGGATGAAAGTTTGATTAGCGAAAGTCTCTTTAAAGACCACAGATGGAGAATTGCAGAGTTTGGTTGAATCTTGGGGTTAGAAAGCCTATAATAAAAAAAATCAAACAACCCCTACATCCCCACATGTTGTTTGGGAGGGTTTCAAGAAAAATCCTCCTCGCTCATCCAAAAACAAACTCCAGCATATTCAGTTACCGGAACTTCAAACAGGACTGGGTTCTGTGGTCAGATGAAACTTAAAAGAGAGCTTTTTGCAGCAAATACACTAGATGGATAAAAATACCCCCGTGTACAATTTAATATACCATTGGATCTTTAATGTTGTGGGCATATTTTCTGCTGGAGGTCCTGGACTTCTTGTGCAGATGGCATTGTGGATTCTATAAAATATCAACAGATAAAAGATCAAAACCTGACGGCTTCTGCCAGAAATCTTATAATGGGCCGTAGTTGGATCTTCCATCAGGACAACGATCCAACAAACCAAAATTAACACAAAAATGTGTTACGGAGCACAAAATGAAGCTTCTACCATGACCGTCCCAGTTTGAGTGGAGAACTGAAGAGAAGCACCAATATGGATCTGGGAATCTGAAGGATCTAGAGAGATTCTGTATGGAGGAATGCTCTCTGATCTTGTCAGTTGTTCTAACTCATCCAGCATTATAGGAAAAAATTCAGATCTGTTATCTTGGCAAAAGGAGATTGCAAAAAGTATTTAATAAAAGGGTGGCAATAATTGTGGCCAAAAACACCCCCCCCCCACACACACACACACACACACACACTTTCAATTCTTTTTTCTTCAATGAAAGGTTACATTTTTGGCAATTTTTTAAATGAAAGATCAAAAGTATAAAATATGCAGATTTCTTTTTTTCCATCCAGTTTTGATCATATTTACCAGGGGTGCATTAATTATGACCACAACTGTATATCACTGTTCTGAGAATTACATTTTTTTAAGCTGGTATATCAAAGAGCAGAAAATCAACGAGTGCCCCACCCTTTAATATAATCAGATAACATTTTTTGGCAATGTTTCACTTTAAGCCCTCTAAATCAAGGAGCATCTCGATAGTTAAGGAAAGTAGATAAAACATTCTTCATTAATGATGAGGCAATACCAACAGTTTCTGAGAAGCCAGTGAAGAGTCTTGGTACGATGGGGGGTACGAAATTCCCATTTGGATGAGAAACCTAAAACTGCATATAAGCTTTTAAAAAAAGACAACATCTTGAGATCTGTTAAAAAAAAAGTGTAATCTGTTTATCATTTATCATATCAAAAATATTTAAAAAAATATACAGTATGTCTGTAAGTCGCTTTGCATAAAAGCGCCTGCTAAATGAAAATGTACATGTATTGTTTATATATCTGCTGTCCTCCCATTTAATGAATTCATGTCTTGGTGTCAGCTGGGTTCAGGCTTAATGGTGTTTTTTAAACAGATTGCGCCCTCTCTGATGCAAAGGTCAATATAAAACAGCAACTGCTGCTTTTCATCTGAGCTATTAATTAATGTGTTCTTCTGTGTCTTCAAGGTTGCCATGGTAGAAGAGTCAGTTTACCCTTTCCCAACAGTGGATGTGCCTGATCATGCTCATTACACTATTGGTGCTGTCATCCTTGCTGTTGGCATCACTGGCATGCTGGGCAACTTCCTGGTCATCTATGCATTTAGCAGGTGGGAAGAACAGGGCTGAGGTGAAGTTGAACAAGTATAATAAAAAAAGTCAGATGGATTGGTGCATAACTTGGAATAGACACATTTACACAATAGTTAGTTCCACTCTTCCAATTTAATTGGTTCAGGTGCCTTCCAAGACCATTGAAATTTCCACAGATTTTGCTTGTTCAGATTTTATTACGGTGGTGACATCACGCAATAAAAAACATCTCTGAGTCTGAGTTTTAAAAAAAATTGTTTGAGTCATTCAAAGGAATTGTTCAAACACAGATTCATTCAGGAACAAAACAATTGACATTCTGAGTAAGTCATGAATGATTCACGTACGTAAATGGTTTGTTCAAAAACACTGATGCAATCAGGAACGAAACACGCCCACGGAATACGCATAAAAGGGGACGAGGCCTGGTTGAGCTGCATTGAGCTGTGATTATCTACTCAACCAATTTGATTAAAAGCACAGATTTATTTAGGAATTAAACAAGTGACTGAGTGATCATCAGTTTAGTTCAAAAACACTGATTCATTTACGAACAAAAGAAGTGACATTCTTTATGAGTGAGTCATGGAATCGATTAAAAGACTCATTTGTTAAGGAACGAAACAGGTGAATGTCAGAGCGAGTCATGAATCAGTCACTCAACGAACTCGTTCAAGAACACAGATTCAATCAGACGCGAAACCACTATATTGTATTTCTTGTTGACACACCGGTTTGACTTTGTTTGGAGCTATTTGCGTTACACAGAGAGGCTGATTTTCTCACAGGCATAAAACTAATAGACTCTGCCTAAAGAACAGAGAAATGAACAATTGATTGTTTTGTGTTTGTATGTGTGTACATGTATGTGTAGGAGCCGGACCCTGAGGACACCTGCCAACTTGTTTATAATAAACCTGGCCCTCACGGACTTCCTCATGTGTGTCACCCAGGCGCCCATCTTTTTCACCACCAGCATGCACAAGAGATGGATCTTTGGGGAGAAAGGTACAAATGTACATGCATGGTTTCATTAAATATGTTTATATTATATAAATGTTATTTGGTCAATAATGAACTCAAACAGGTTCAATCATATTTTTACAGCAGCCAATCTGTCAAATGCATAGACTTATCCACCATTATCTTTGCAGATAGATCGTTAAACGTGAATACATAGGCAGTATCTGAAATAATATATGCAGGTCCATGATTTATTGTACTGTACTTTTTGAATTATAATGAACGTATTTAAGATTAATGAGAGTTGAAGGGTTTAATTGAATGAATGTAGAATAGCTTCAGATGAAGGAGAGGTTGCCCTCGGAGACGGCCTTGGGTTTGTCAGTACTAACAACTATTCACACCGGTCTTATTCATACCAGTTTGTAATACAGTTGTTTCTTTTTGATCAGTTTACAAATCATCTCTCTAAATTGTTCTCAAAGCATGTGTGTCAAAGCTTTTCTTGTGGATTTTCAGCACTAGCTTGTCATTTTGCTCAGTTGTGAGATGCTGCCTTTGTGACATTAAAGGATGGAAGGCTCTTTTTCCCCCTGAGGTGTTTTAAATGTCAGTTCTTATCAGAGCCGAATCTTAATTGCCTTCATCAGCCTTCACTGGGATTTGTTGGAATCTTCTGCTTGCTGACGTTTGCAATGAGAGATTATGGTTATTGTACTGTAGTGATTGATTGCTGATCTTTTGTGTTTTGGGAGTTTACTGTGCAGTCTTGTCCGCTCTGTTGTCCGCTCTTTCCCTGTGACAGGAAATCAGGTCACCAAGTCAAAGTTTAGGTGTGTTCGACTTGAAGCAGGAGTGCGCAGATTGATCTTTGAATGACATCAAAGAACCATGAGACCAATTTGAGAGCCAAAGGGGAACCATGACATTCAGTAACTGACAAAGGGCATGGGGTAAACGAGATTAACAAAATACAGAGTTAACAAGACACACCTGGGAAGACAATCAAGTGATAAAAACTACAAAGGACTACAAACATGGCACTCAGGACAGAAAGTAACATAAAAGTCCAGAGACAAACACAGGGACATAAATGTTGTGTATCTGCCTGTATCAAAATACTATCCTGTAAAGCACTTAATTTGTCACAGCACAAACCAAACACTGTAATCAGTTTAAAGCAGTTTATTCAGCATATTGAGCATCTGCTCCATTGAATTCCATTCAAACACAACATCCTCTGATCTCCCTTTTGAGATTCTGACACTCTATGCTTGTCTGAGTGCAGTTTGAAGCCTCCCTCATGGAGCAGGGGCTATGACCCAGTTTCATTTGTTGGAAAGAGTTAAAATATGCTCTTCCTGTTTCTGTAAGGTCTGACTGCACAAGGCACAATTATGACCACAGTTAATTCAGTTGTGACAATCGTAGGCTTGATCCCCGTGAAAGCTTTCACAATCAATTAGACACAACTCACAAATTGCTCTCTTCCAGGATTAACCTGAAAGCATAGTCTACTGACAAGGTGTAAGAGAAGACATCCTGATGTTTGAGAGGATTAACTTCAATAACAGAAGCTTCTGTTTTGTAATTATTAAAGTGCATCCTGTTAATGTGTTCTGTGAAAAGCAAGCACAGTTCCCATGAATCAGACTGAATGCGTTGCCTCTCATCCTGTTGTTTACATATGCATTGATAGCACAGAAGACAAGTGTGTGTGGATGTTGAGGAGGTGGCAGACTGTGTCTGTCGAATATAATGGTGTTTCTCTGCTCTGCTCTGTTCAACAGGTTCTTCTTTTGCTGACCTGATGTTTTATGTTCAGTAGCCTTCAGACAAACCCCAAACAGACTGTTATCTCTTTCTGTATTTGTGTGTTTATGTAACGTTGGCTCCATTTAGGACAGTAGTGTTACTATGGCCCTGACGATCAGATCACAAGTAAACGAGGAAGACCCATTTCTCTTTACACCTGGTGTTTAAATCAGTCTCTTCTGTCCACTTTCAACCACTTCTGTCCTGATTTTTTGAGAGGGTTTATGAGTGGGTAAATGTATGGGCTTTTTCAGATCTTTCAATCTAACGGACAAAATAAGCACAAGCAATTTACATATGAACACGATCGGAGATGACAAAAAAAAAAAAAACGGAGGGCAGCACCTTTTGTTTCTGATAGATATCAGGAATGGTTGAGAGAACATTGTGTTTACCCAGTAAACAAATTTAGGTTCCCGGAACATTCTCCTTACGTTACAAAAATAGAACCTAAAAATAACCTACATGGAACATTCCTATAACGTTCTTGTTTGGTTCCCAAAAAAAATAACCTCACGGGACCATTCGGGAACGTTAGGGGAACGTTCTGTGCTTGCTGGGTGGTATGTTTTTCATCTTCAAACCAAACTTGGGTCTTCAGCCAAAGTTTAAATCCCGTCTGGCCAGTGCACTTCCCATAATGTTAGAGTAGGTCTTTTGTGGGTGTTCGAACACATTCGACCACATGAGCGTTTACACTATGATAGCAATCCAGTTGAATGTGTTTTAGACTACCTCTGGAAGTGGTTTAAAGTGGACAAGCTCAAAACATTTTAGACCCCCTTTACACCTGTTTTGAGCGTCGTCCACTTGATACGATACGTGGTACGATCGACCAAAATGACCAAAATCTTAATACCAGGTGTAAACAGGTTGATGAGCATTTGGAAATGTAGGGTGGAAGTTAATTTAAAACAGTGATTTTTAATCAGGGGGCTGTGGCCCGCTAGGGGCATCAGCAAACTTGGTGGCTTTAAGATAACTTAAAATTATTTAAAGTAAGTTAAAACAACTAAAAATCCTTTGCAGAATCAGTGTTCCTGGAAAAAAGTGTGCCTGAAAAGTCATGTAAATCAGAAAATACAGTAATGAATATACATTTCACTCGTTATGAGAAGCTCTAAAATATTTTATTGGGTATAAATTTATGGGATTAGATTTCGGTTACAATTCTGCGCACACAAGATAACATTTTGATTTTCGCACGCGTGAGTTTTGCGGAGAAATGTTCGTCTCGCAGATAAGAAAATATTTCGAGCGAACTTATCTGCGAGACGAACATTTATCCGCAATACTCAGTTCACGCGTGTGCGAAATGCCCTTTTGCGCACTCAAAATATGATCTTGCGCGCACAGAATTGTGACCAAATCAAATCCAATAGAAATTGAGTTTTAAAAAAAACATGCATCCTTAATCCTTATCCAGTAAGTTGTGCAGTGTGACAACGGAGTCTTGGAGTCAAAAAAGAAAAATTCAAAAAGAAACACATCCATTCTAAATTTATTAAGAGCAGATTATTTTAATGAACTGCTAATGAACAGCCATAGTGAACACAATTATCAAGCAAAACTGCTAGAATTTAACACAGATACAGTATATATCTGTGTATAAATTGTGCTTGGTTACAGACTTATATAATTCTGTTCCTCCTGTCTCTCCAGGTTGTGAGTTGTATGCATTCTGTGGGGCTTTATTTGGCATCTGCTCCATGATCACACTCATGGTCATCGCAGTGGATCGATACTTCGTGATCACGCGGCCGCTAGCCTCTATTGGTGTGCTGTCTCAGAAGAGAGCTCTGCTGATCCTTCTCATAGCCTGGGCCTATTCTCTTGGTTGGAGCCTTCCACCCTTCTTTGGATGGAGTGAGTGGAGTATATTGTTTTAACTTTCCACTTTCCACTATATTTCCACTTACTTTGATATTTCTACTGTATCTAACAGTCCTGTAACAGCATTCATACACAATTCAGAAACATCTCCTTCATGTTGCTCTAAACCTGTATGAATTTCTCTCTTCTGCAGAACATAAAAGTAGATATTTTTAAGAATCAGGTCACCAAACAGTTTTGGTGACAATTGATTTCCATATAGACAAAAAACTCTGAGTCAGTTCTCAAAGTACCTTCTTTTATGTTCATCTGAAGAAAGAAGTTTAAGTCAAGTCAAGTCACTTTTATTTATATAGCGCTTTATAAAATACAGCTTGTTTCAAAGCAGCTTTACAGTGATAACAGGGAAAAAAAGTTATGCATTTTGGCTGTTGTTCAGTTCAGTGTTGATTCAGTTCCGTTGCAAAGATCATAAATTATTGCGTTAGTTCATTTCATCTATATATCAGTTCTGCAAAAAATAAAAATAAAAAACTGATGTCATCGTCCAGCTCAGTTCAGTTTTTATACAACAGCGTCAGTAAAGTCAAATCAATAATATTGTTGAATATTAAATGTCCCCATCTGAGCAAGCCATAGGCGACAGTGGCAAGGAAGCAGTTCTCCTCTGGCCAAGTGTGTTGCTTTGCTAATGGAGTTGACTATACCTTTGATGCTCATTTAAAAATCATTTAACATCATGTGCCAGTCTTTTATTAGCTCAAGTCTTTTGGGACAGGTACTCTGAGCATTCTGGATCAATCATGTGTGAGCACACCAGCATGTGAGTTGTTGGCCAATAGCTAGCTTTGCTAAAAGAATTGCGTTGTTGGATCTGTGGTGTGTAAAGGTGGTCTCTGAGGACCGAGGCTTTTAGCTTAACAGGGATAGACCGGTAAAGCCTGGTGCTTTTGCCTCTCTAGCACTTACTCTTCACACGAAGGGTGTCTGTCTCCTTTAATGTTTCTGACAGCTTATATCTTCACCGCTGATCAGCACACCAACCTCAAGCCCAAGGAAACTGATGATTGGCAGGCCACACACATGAAAGTTAGATTGTGATAAGAAATACTATAATTATAGCGTACCTAAAAAATATCCTCAGCTTTGTGTGCATTGGGTTGTATTTCAAGGTTTGCCCAGCAGCCAGACAGTAGTCTAAATCCTTTTTCTGTGTGAGTTTCTTCCAGTTTTCTCAATATTTCACTGGGTGTAAACGGCTTAACTGCTGGCTGTCCTTCACTTCCCTCCTCAAATTCTGTTTTGTCTGTCTGTTTTGCAGGTGCTTATGTTCCTGAAGGGCTGTTGACCTCTTGCACCTGGGATTATATGACCTTTACACCCTCCGTGCGAGCTTACACTATGCTTCTCTTCACCTTCGTCTTCTTCATTCCACTTATCGTCATCATCTATTGCTATTTCTTTATTTTCCGATCCATTCGCAGCACTAATGAGTGAGTTCTTTGGTAGAGGTTCAACTATACAGTAACGTCAGCAGTTATCCAAAGCTTTTAAAATGTCTTTTGTATTATATATATGATATATATATATATTCTATATATTTTAATTATTTAAATATTTTAATGGCAGTAAACCAGTGTTGTTTAACTGTTCCTTTTTGTCTTTGGTAGAGCTGTGGGCAAAATTAATGGAGATAACAAGAGAGACACAATTAAACGATTCCAACGACTGAAAAGTGACTGGAAGATGGCAAAAATTGCTCTTATTGTCATTCTCATGTATGTCATCTCCTGGTCTCCATATTCAACTGTGGCACTGACAGCCTTTGCTGGGTAAATGAATCCCAATCCTCATACACAATATGATATATAATATAATATAATATAATATAATATAATATAATATAATATAATATAATATAATATAATATAATATAATATAATATAAGCTCTTGTGTTCATTTAGATATTATTCAACTTATAGTCATTTTGTAGACTATAAATAAAGGTAATAACATATGATGTGAGATATCCATAAAATAGTGTTAATTAATGTATACACTTATTTTGCATGTGTTTTGTAGGTATTCTGATATGCTTACACCATATATGAATTCAGTTCCTGCTGTGATAGCCAAAGCCTCAGCCATCCACAATCCCATCATCTATGCCATCACACACCCTAAATACAGGTAGAGAAGTCTCTATGTATCGTTGTCAGTTTAGTATATTTGGGACAAGATTGGTGACTCTGTGACAAGTTTTGACTCCAGAAGTGGTCATGAAAAAACGTAATGGTAAGAGGTAAATGGAAAAACTTGCTTTCCATTAATGCAGAACATTGTTCAGATTAGATAAAATTAGATTACATGGTCTGGCCCCATTAAGACTAAACACCTGGGGCAAATTGTGATTGTTTTAATTTTACTAGTGTTGGCTCACTGAGCCATTCATTCACAAATTGATCAGAAACAGGTCTTGCTTCTGGGTTAAAGTGTAAAATTCCATTTTGATTGATTTAATTAACCTAAATGTCCATTTGAGCATAAAGAGGTATTAATCCAGCAGAAGCGTCCTGACGGTATGGTACTGTATCATGCGGCTACAGGCCTGCTGGAGTAAAAAGTCCTTTTGATTAGATTTTCTCCCACAACTCTAAACCACAGCATTTTCCTAAACACATATCAGTCCATATGTGAACAAATTTCCTTCCATGCATGCAATGACAAAAGAGTTATTTTGATTTAGGTCTAAAATGCAATAATGTTGTTGAATTATGTAGCTAATGCAGAGCGCCAGAAATATTGCATATTTTTTGACACTAAAAATTGTCATTAAACTTATTTTGTCTGTTACTCTTTCCTCTATACTGTATTGCTCCACCAATTGGACTTTTACCCAAGTGTTGCATAAAGACTCATTTGCTGCCTTTAAAATGGAGTTTTATATCTGATACCAATCTTTAGTGTTATTTTGGTATTAATTACATATATGCTTTTTTACCATAGTATTGCAATGTATTGAATTAGCCTTTTTTATTTTTAGTTCAAGTCAGTTTCTTACATGCTTTTGTCATTTTTTGTTATATTTATATTTAGCTTTATTTAGCTTTTTAAAAAGCTATTTAGATTTTTATCATTGTTTAAATTAATGATACATTTCTAATTATATGTATATATATTATTTGATTATTTATTTAAGATCTTTTTCATTTATATTGAACCTAATCTTGTCATACTCTATGTAAATATGGATCCACCACGTCTAAGCTGTCTTATCCCAGTATCTCATCTGTGTCTGTCAGGTTGGCCATAGCGAAATACATTCCGTGTCTCCGTGTGCTGTTGTGCGTCCCGAAGCGTGACCTCCACTCGTTCAACAGCAGCTTAATGTCCACACGTCGTTCCACCGTCACAAGCCAGTCCTCTGATATGTCCGGACAGTTCCGCAGAACCAGCAATGGCAAGTCCCGGCTCTCCTCAGCCTCCGACAGCGAATCTGTGAGTGTGTTTGCCTGAGGGACCTAGGGGTAGTTTTGTTTGTTACTCTTTTCATGTGGGTAAATGTGATTGTAATGGATGTATTTTATGACCTCTTTCTTCTCTTCAGGGCTGGACAGACACTGAGGCTGATCTCTTGAGTTTGAGCTCCAGGCCTGCAAGCCGACAGGTGTCTTGTGACATCAGCAAGGACACTGCGGAGATCCCAGACTTCAAACCATGCAACTCATCCAGCTTCAAGTCTAAGGTCAAAAGCCGTGACTCGGGCATCTTTGAAAAGGTGACCTCACAGGCTGAATGTATTCCATATGTGGCAAGTATCAAAAAAATATAGCTTGTTTAACAATTTTCATGCAAAAAGGGCTAATACATCAATTATCAATTCTCAAGCCTCACTGAAAGTTTGCACTAGCGTATTTCTTTAAAAACAAATCTTACTGACCCCACTCTTGAATGTTGCTGTATGTACCCGAAGAGTGACCTCACTCTCTCATTTCTGACCTAGAGCTCCTCTGATGTGGATGATGTGTCTGTGGTCGGACTCCTTCAACCTGATCGTACTTTTCCTTTAGCTGTAAGTCTGACAGTGAATCTGTTCAATATAATAGTTCAGTATAAACCAGTCTCACTGCTGACCTGCACACTTCAAGCTGTTGCTGGATCCTGTGGGCGGTATAGTTTGTAAAATGTCCTGACCTCAGGAACATTGTGTTCTGGCGCCACTGGCAGAGCAACTCGCCCAGGCAATCAAATATGTGCATGAAAAATCTGCAAGTGTATTTAAATTTCTAGAATGCTATTTGATGAATCGTGTTTTGTAGAAAACAAAATGGTTAGTGAATTCATTAGAATATTGATTACTGAAGTAAAGCATATAATAAAATGACTGTTCCATTTTTCCAATAAATATTTCTTTCTGTGGAAGAAATATGTGCCCTATAATCATCTTTCATACGTAAATGCTATTAATTAAACCGAGAATTATGCTGTCAGTGTTTTGTTATGGAGCTCATGCTGTGTTTAATTGCAGCAGTGTTATCTGCGGGAAAAAAAATATATTCTTTACAATAATGGCTAATAATCGACAAAATCAAAGTGTTCTTTTGTGCTATTTGCAGGCTGGTGACATGACAGACATGCCAGTTTCAAGAGGTGCGATTGGTCGGATTCCCAGCATTTTCATCACCTCTGAGTTTAGCTCTTTCCAGCCCTCAGTACGGCCCAGCTACAGAAGCGGCTGCTCAAGTATGACCAGTGTTGGGGCAAATCTGCCCAGAAGAGACTCTATTGGAGTTGTCCAGCAGGGGGCAGTGCTTCTCTCCATTGCTGCTGAAACACCTGAGGCCACTCATTTAGACCACCCTTGCCCCAAACATACCTAGTGTTTATACCACTCGCCAGCTTACCTTTTAGCATTGTGTCAGGGTTCAGTTTTTTTTTTTGTGAGTTATTATGTTTTGTGGTGTAGATATTTAGTAAGAGAGTAAGGGAGAGTTGTATTACAGAATGTAAAATAGTCATACATTGATTCTCTTTTCTTTTATGATGACCTCAACTGTTACAGGATGACCAGCACCTTTGTTTTCCTCTGTTTCCTCTATGTATTTAACAGACAGTGCTTTAAATCAGGCAAAGTTACTTATGGAGACTTGGATGGGTGGAGAGACAGGGCATCTCAAGTTCTTTTAGTCTAGTCATCAACCTCAAATGGCATATACAGGTAATATTAGCTTACTTAAGGAGTTGTTTGTGTTTGCTTTAGTATTAAGCTTTAAAGGTTTGTGTTTCTTGTATATTATACATATACATATTTCAAAAGTTGTTTCCTTTAGCTTTAAGCTTTTTTAAAATGCCATTTTCAACCAACATACCTGACAGTTATATCATCACTCAAAGTGAGACACTGTCTGGATGTGTTTTGCTTAACAGGGTCATTTTAAGACTGCGGTATGTGAGTTTTGCTCTTGAGGAGCTCATATGTTTTCTGCTCGCCTTCACAGAACTTAAAGGTATGCAATATAAATACATTGAAACAACTTGTTTAGGAAACATGGTCATTTATGGTTTGGATATTAATTGAATAATTAAACTTCTTAGACCTTAAGACTTAACTTACCGGTAGTTGATAAATTACTTATGTTATTTAATCAGAGCAAAAGCAACAAGAAAAACCTTCCAAACCATGTAATAAAATCAAAATAATGATTTATCTTTTAGCTAGATTTTTGAGGAAATTATATATATACGTCATTCACCCGTGCACGTCGAGTCATATCCGTAAACCAAGATAGCCATTCACACAGAGCCGAAGCACAACCAAAACAATGTTCTTCTACAGTTTTCTACGGGCCAATTAAAGTTACTCCCAATTGTCCCAATGACCTATTCACAGACTGATGCTGCGTTGGTGTTTTTAGTTATCAACATTGCAAACCTAGTAAGGCTTTTCATATTTTCATTATTAAAATTTAGTATACATTTATAATGCTATACTTTGTTATATTATTTTGACAGTTAATTACAAAAAGTGAATTAACACTGCTGCAAGGTTCTTTCTAATACAATGGCTTGCTAATGGAACGACTCTCTTCTGTCTGCTTGATATTTTTTCCCTCTTTTCGAAAGTCGTAGGAAAAAAGCAAAAGCAAAAAGGAATACAAAATTATATTTGCTGTCGTCTTCCGTTACCCTCTATAAAAGTTTACCCAATTATGACGACGTCATACCTGCACCACTCTATAGGCTAACTTTTGATTATCCGTTGGGACACACTTTCACCCCAAGGGGTCACCTTTTGACCATGCTTCAATATTTGACGCTTTAGGCGCCCTTTAGCATCAGTCATGTAACTGACGCTAAAGGGCACCTAAAGCGTCAGATATTGAAGCATGGTCAAATGCTTCCCAAGGCGTCAGTTAGGTGATGCCTTGGGGGTGAGAATGTGTTGCAAAAATGCAAAATCTTTATTTACAGTTTTTGATTTTCAATACTCTGCACATTAAAACAAACTTAAAATGTCTGTTCAGTCCCTATATGTAACACATACAATGAAATTGTGGTGCTTCTAAATAAGTGATACAAATTTTTAAAAAAGTTTTACAAAATACACATACTCATCTCTGCACCAATAAAGGTGAACAACACTTTCCCCTAGTTCCACAAACAAGGCTTTAAGCCTAGTCCCAGAATAAAATGCATATTTGAGCTGTTTTAACTGAAAAGATACTTGCACTGACAGATCTTGAATTTAAGGCCTAAATCCTGGCTTAGTCTAAGCCCTGTCTATGAAACTGGGCCTTTGTGTTTTATACCAAATTATATGTAATATCTAATTAACTTATATTGAGATTAGAGTGTGGATTTATTGTGTTTTAAAGGTGTTTATCTGACCTGTGACACATACACATTCTCTTTAGTGGCCAAAGTGTGGGTATTGGGACAGGCCCATAGTGTAGCTTTAAGTTTCTGCCCCTGACCTCTTATCATCTGAGTTTTGAAAGCATTGTAGTTATTTCTGGTTTGTTGTAAAAACAAATGTATATCTTACTAAATATACATATGCAGTAAATGTGTTTTTATTTCTAAAGGTCTTATTAATGACCTCTGAAAGTAACTGTCTAGATATGTAGAACCCTGAGAACTTCAGCGTTAAGAATGTGGAATTAATTTAATCATAGTTTGAAAATGCTATCACAAAGTAGAAACAGAGCTATTCAACTCACCATATGAATCATAAGCCATATATCATCTGTTTATCATATTTTTAAACAGTTTAATCTAGTGATTGGAGAGATAAAACGTTTTGGGGTTTTTTCGCTTTGGACATAACAAAGAAGTAATCTCATACAGCACACGCCACATTATTCGTATGCCTGAAGCAGGGACACATTATTATCTCTGTAAATCACGCCAAGCGAGAATTTGCAACTGATTTCATGCTGCTGTGTCTTTAAATCCATCAAGATGAATCAGAATGACCCTATATGAATATCGATCATATGTACACCACCTCTACAGACAAGTTGATTTTTAATATTGTAAAAATGTAGTTGTGTTTTAATTTTCGTTTAAAAAAAATGTAATTTAAATAATCTTGTTAGCATACAAAATCAAATCATAGTCAGCTATTAATGTTTAAACAATTATGTTGCTTTTTTACTCAACGACAGGTCGGAAAGACTATAAATGTGATGGTGGCTGCTCTTCTAGATGGTTCCGGAAGACACGTTTAGCAAATTGTGGGAGTCTTTGATATATCTAGTGTTAGTACTTTGTTGAGTGGTTTATTTGTTCATGTAAAGGAATCATTTATTTGTCCAGATGACTACAGTCTGTGAACTGTTTATATTGTTAAGTATATCTCAGACTGCATCCGAGTTTATATTTGTTAATATGTATCCATTTAAATGAAAGGCACTGTATGTGTATCCGACACCAAGGAGAAGATTATTGTATATTTGTAATGCTATTATATGTAGTTGCTCCTATTTATTTATTTTTTAAATAAAACTACAGTTCTAGACATGGTTTCCTTTTTCAATAAAATATTTAGGATCCAGTTCTTTCATAATCATCTTTGCTAGTATTATTGTAATGTTTCCTCTGAAAAGGATATTTATTGTGTTGAGTGACATCATCACTGAACTTTTAAAATAGCTGTTCTATTAATAGAGATGTTTCTCTTGCCTTTAGACAGTGCTGTCCTCGTCAACACATGCTGCCTGTCATTAATGATTTGATCATCAATTTTCTCAACCATAACTTTTAGGGAATAATAATTGCTTATAAGAATGGCTTTTACTTTAACAGGAACTCAATAAATGGGGAGGGATACATTTGATTCAAAGGGTCACTGTACGGATTCATGTTACGGAAGCGCCGCTGTACGGATTGTGATGCAGAACTGCTAAGTGAATTAAATACAGGCCCATTCAGAATCATATATTATGTCTATGTTCAGAATGCCGTTTCGAGTCTTGTTTGGTTGACTCATTTCCAAAACACTGTCTCTTTAATGACTGTTCTCTAATGAAAATCCCTCGCCCTCCGCCTCTCTGTCCCGTCGCTATGGTCCCGTCCCGTGGGAGAAATAACCCGAAATAACGAATCCTACTATTAAAAAGACTTAGCTCATTAATATGTATTAGATCATGCTGGCGTTGCCTGGTAACCCGACTAACACGTCAGTCACAAAAGCTAATTCATATTCATGTCCCAAAATGCTCACCATATGATTCGTTAATTCGACAGGTGATTAGCTCCGCGTCTGCATTTCGGCGAATCAGGTGGACCTACTGGGGGAGCGCTACATTCCTTATTTAATATTCATGAGCTCAGCCTTCAGCATAGTATGATTGGTCATTTTGCGTCCGCGGTGCTTACGTACAACACCGGGGGTTCCAGGGATCAGGCATGAGTGACAGAGCTCTCCTCTGGGGAAGCGGAGCGACTCAAAACTGCAAGGCTCGCGGCTGACAGTACAAGCAACTTTTAGCATGCAATGTAGGTTAAACCAAAACTTGGAAAAAAGTTGTTTGTTTTTAATGATTTGTTGAATGAAAATGGAAGCTTCACGCTGTACTCGAGACGCTCAGTGGCTGCAGTCGCGTGACAGCGTTTCTTCTGTCGGCTACATGCCTCTGCTCTCAGTTAAGTTAGGGCTTCATGAGTTTTACCAAACCTACCGATATATTTATTACTTAAAATATAACGTGAGTCTGAAAATATACTATTCTAGCCAGTGGCGTGTTGATATTGTTATGAATCTGTTGAATTGGCTAATGGCTGTCTTATCTGGTCAAAAATCCAATGATATCCTAAATGTTTGTTTATAGTAAAGGTTACTATTTTGTTTATTGTAACATCTTGGCGTAAACGTTTTTTTGTTTGTTTGTTTGTTTTAAAGGGCAATATTTTCATGGGAAACCTTAGCAAACATTAAGTAGATTTAGAATAGAAACTATTTTCAACAATACACTAAAATATAGACCATGTTGGTTGTGCCGATCATGTCCAGTTCAAATGGAACCCAGCTGATAAAGTGGGCTATATAAAAATTTCTTATGAGCAAAAAAAAAAAATATATAGCCTTGATAGCTACATAATTTATCTGTGTACATTTATAGATTGGTAGAGATAGGAAAGAAAAATAAGATAAACGGAGTAACAGACAGAAAGGCTAAGCTCTTTGAAAGTTTGGTCACAGAGGAGTAAAGAGTTTCTACAGTCACATATTTTATAATTATGGGAAAACCATAGATCTAGATTAAATCAAAAAAGCAAATAGTATTGTCTTTGTCAAGACATCATGACATTGACTGTATCAAAGTAATGTCTCGCACTTTCCAGGGTTTGCATGTTCGCATGAAGGCCTGATTGTTGAACATTCATGTACAGTATTACTTCAAATTCTTCCATTGACAAAGAGGGCTAAACTTAGCTGCTAACTAGAGGTCTCCCAAATTAGGCAGGGTGAACAGGCATGTCCTCAGTGGTTATCTTCTCTCTGAAGTCTCAGCGTGGACCTTGTGATGGGAGAGAGTGGCAGTGCAGGAGAGGTCCTCTTATCTCGGTTCTCTGAGAGCAATAAGAGCATATCAGGCGATTCTCACTGCCACTTGTTCTTTGTCTAAAGCTGCTCATTAAAAAAACCTCCAGATGCCTCTGGATGTTTGGGATAACATTATCTTAGATGCCATTCAAGGTTTGTGTTTGCAATAAAGAAGATAATATTACCTCCTATATTAATAATTCCAATGTTAATGTATCAATGAAGTTAAAACTATGGGTTCGGTAAGATTTTTTAATGTCTTTGAAAGAAGTCTCTTATGTTTACCAAGGCTGCATTTATATGTAGAAAAAACAGTAAAATTAGTAATATTGTGAAATATTTTTTACAATTCCAAATAACCATTTTCTGTTTTAATATATCTTGAAATATATTTTATTCCTGTAATGGCACTCTAGTGTTCACTGTCACATGATCCTTTAGAAATCTTTTTAATATGCTGATTTGGTACTCAAAAAACATTTCTTATTATGTTGAAAACTGTGATGCATTATTTTTTCCCAATATTCTTTGATATTAGAAAGTTCAAAATTAAAATAATTATAATATTCATATTCAAAATAAGTTTCTAAACAGTAGTTTGTTAATATCTCAATGTATTTAATGTGATGATACAATTAATAGAAACTTAATTTAAACCGGTGACAATTCAATCCAAGAATGCGCTGTGAATGCATGAAATAAGTTTGTTTGAGTCCATAGGGGAAACCTTTTGTTAACCATTTTTCAGAATCAGCCAGGTTGCAGTTGGACTCTTTACCAAAAAGACATGATTATAAATGAAGTTTTCATATAATCACTCTCCCAGGTCCCTGTACATGATCCAGATGAGGCACCCTAGAAGAAAGGAGTCTAGAAAAATCTTTTAGCCTAAGAGGGGACTATATTAGCCCTGTGAATCATGGGAGGCCTGGCATTCTGGGTGTCCCCTTACATGCCATATAAGTACCCCTTCCTCCCCCCTCCCCCCGATGCCATAGTCCTATCGGTGACGGCAGAGGGGCAGCTATTCTTAGGTTGTCTGTCCAGCTCATCTGAGTAGGCAAGAATCCTCTTCCTCTGGCTCATAGCTCTTCTCTGTTGCTCCAGTTAGTTTGCAGTGTATTCGGGTGGGCCTGAATTCATTGTTTCACGCTTTTACTTTGACCTTTTTGGCCTGCAGTTTTTTTTCCGTTTTTTTTTTTTTTTGGAGAGGTGTGAGTGTTACGTTCCTTTTACACTTTTTTTCTTCTTCTTTCAGAGGCTGTTTGGCACGTGCCCCGCCCCCTCCCAAATCCATTTTCCCCATCCGTTTGGAGAAATTTTGTTGCTTAAACAATACACAGGCTTTTTTGAACAATGACTTCTTACAACGTGTCACTCGCTGGACCTTCTCCTTGGGGCTTCCGGTTGCAAGGAGGCAAGGACTTCAACATGCCCCTCACCGTTTCTAGGGTAAGACCCCAAAATCCTGGCCAAAATGACAGCAATTCATCAGTTCAGCACCATTTACTCATATCTGAATCTGCATGGATGAGTCTAATAGATTTTATTAATGTTTTCACACAAATATTATGTGAATAAGAGCTTTAAGCATTTTACTGCAATATGAATTCAAAGTCACTTTAGACACTGCATACCCAATTCATTCTCTTGTCATAAGATTTAAAATATGATCAATCATTATATTTATATATTTACTACAATGTGAATTGATGATTTTGTAGTTCCTTTGTTCATTCATTGTTATCTTGGTAGTTGAGCTTGTGCTGATCTGTTGCTGGTCCAGAATTATTTGTTATGTTGTTCATCATAATGAAAATGCTTCTTCGATATTATATGATATGATGCTACTTGATTTGGAAACTTGCATAGGTCATGTCTGCTTAGCGCTAGAAAGAAGTGATTGGTGTCTTGGTGTGAAGTTTGTCTTTTGGTGTGATTTGATATTGTTAATTATTTTTTATATTCTTTCTGCAATGCTGCTTTATTGAGGAACCTCATAAAACCCCCTTGTAAATCCATATTTACAGTGTAGATGTACAGTATTGATTGTAGTGTGTGCATTCAGTTCATTACACTCTAATCGATTTATCCTTGTTCCGCTGTTATTCTTGCATGTAACATGAAGTCTGATGACTAATCCTTCTCTTAAACAGCGAGTTCTGTGAAATTGTTCAAGGAATTCATTATGAAAGGGTGTTTTAAGGGCTTTATTTTGGGAGTGGTGTGAGAAAGGAAGGTCAAATATCACAGAAGGGCGAGATCTCATCATATTACTGTAACAATTATATCTCTACAAACGCATATAGCAGACCTAGTAGAAACATTCTACTCGCTGAAAGCATAACGAGAACAGCCCAGAGAACATTTGACCTGCGTTTGACCCATAGACTGTAAAAAATATGGACAAAGCGTCTGTGACGTCACCCATAGACTTTCTGAAGGACAGTTTTGAGGCTGTTTATGGGGGTATGGCTGGCGCCATATTAGACAATCTTGAGAAATACAAAATACAAATGTTCAGAAAGGACACAGATGTGGTATGACTATGATGTGTTGAGTCAGATCATGGCCGAGACGTCAAATTCCACTCTGCGCTGCCCTTTATCAGCTGTCAATCAAAGTTAACCGCCCTTATTTGTCATACATTTTATATCTAAATACGATCTAAACTAACGAGTTAGAAAAAAATTCACCCCCCTCACAGTTGTCAGGCACGCGGAACATATTGAAGATTACAATAAGTCCATGGGACCAAATTGTAAACATATGAATTTATGCTGTGAAAACGGACATTTTAATATGAGGTCTATGGATATTTGCTCCCTTTTGGGACCGGCCTCTAGTGGTTTTGAGATGTATTGCAGTTTTTCGCACTTCAGGGTAGGCTTCATTTTTCAGATTAGAATGTTGCCGCTTGGTTTGACCGTATTTATCTGTTATCTGTGTGATTTGTGTTGGAAGAGCACTGTCCACAACAGATGTACCTTCCTATTCTCAGATGTCTAGTGAGGACAGATTCACTGGCCCAGTATGTTGCTGGCATTCGAGGGTCTTGAAAAAAATAGATCCTCATGTGTAAAAAATGTCAGACAGTGATTTGAGCGGTCAAACGGTGGCAATACACGCCACAGAGAGATGATGCACTGCCATTTTGTCACCTCTGCCAACATAGCCTGCGGTCAGGAAGAATGTTTGGTACACTATCCTAGGTGGCCCACCGAGTTTGTCATGTTACAGTGACGTAAACACCCTTGACAATATCGTAATGCACATTGGAATCTTCTGACGCTTTTCTAGGCCTTTTATTTGCAGAATTTGACAGCTATTTGGCCTCACTGTACTAGTTTCTAATAATATCTAAATCAAGAGGTGTGTGGCAGTTCTATTTGTCTTCCCTACAGGAAAAGACCAGTAGCAGGACCTAGTCAGTTACTGTAGAGTGACAGGTGGGACCTAATACTTACTTTTGTTCTGGCTGTCGGGTGGCTCAACAGGGGGGCTTTTCTATAAAAGCACCACACGGGTGTGGTGGCCTGCTTTAAAGGAGGAAAGAAGTGCTTGGTTATTATGTATTTTAAAGACGTAGATCTGCTGTGAGTATCACATTAGTTGGTCTGAGGAGGATTCCTGTAACTTAAGAGGATGAATATTATTTGCCAGCCCACAGGAGACAGACGGCCTGGTTGCTATTTACTGATCAGCCAGTGAGTATTCCTGTTCAGTGCAGGAGACTTTGTTCTGAATGTAACACATGTTATACTGTATTTGACCTGTTGCAGCTTCTAGGCTGAGAGCGATGAATAATTATATATATATATATATATATATATATATATACTGAATACATGGTTTTGTTATAATATTAAATATGGGTGATGCATTAAATGATCAACAGCATGTAAATATTTAGCAGCACAACGGTTTTCAATATTGATAATACACTGACACTGACACTGAACAGGGCCGTGCACAGACATTTTGGGAGGGCAGGTGCTCAAGTAAAAAAAAAAAAAAAAAGGGAACCCCCTTAATAACTATTTATTATTAGTTACCTTATATTGTTGATCATCTTTTACACACTATAGTGCTGTTGTTATACCAATTAAATTAAATCAGTATCAACAAAATCCATTTATCATTATAATTTAAAATCATTGTCATTTAAATCAAAATCCATTTACACTGCAATTACAATTGCCTAAATAATGTAATGAGATTATTGTTTTAAATATAACATTTTAAAAAATGTAAAGGATACTATTATATAAAACCGACAGGGGGTGGCAAGTTGTGATAAGTAAATCATAGAATTGTTCATTCAACCGATTGGTTCAAACTGGCTAATTTGTTCATGTCCACTGACTTTATGAATAGGTCATTGAATCATTGACTCACCTGATTTTGACTCTATGAAAACTATATTGTGTTATCACAAAATACAAGACTTCGTACAAGGGCAATTCATATCTTGAAAGTTTGGATGCATTTTTATACATTTTCCGAACTTGCATGATGTTATTTTACACCAATAGAATAGCTTGACTGTTATGAAGCCGAGAAGTTTTTATAGTGGTTTAATTTCACAGCGAACAAAAACAGTGCCGAAATTTAGCGCATAATTGATCGTCTGGATGTCTCTAGGTTTGTTAAGACGTGGATGCTGCTTGGTGCGCTGTGGTGGATGTGTCATGGGATATCGGAGAGTGGGACGGGCTTTTTTTGGTCGCACATAATTATTAAGAATAAGTTTAAAGCTTGAGGTAAGATGATATATAATTTTAAGCAGATCCTACATTTCTTTTTTTATTTTGTTTATTTAAAACTATACTTTTATTTTGAAATCAATCAGTATTCCAGACTGATGAGAAGTATTTTCTTGTTGGTTTTGTTTACATACTTAATTTGATAATGTGTTTTGAAGTTTAGGAACCTTTCAAATGTTTTTATACATACCAGACGATATACAATTCATACATTTTAACGTTCTTTGGCTAATATACTGGTCCTTCTGATTTGGGTGAAATGTTGTTGGCAGATGCTCCTGTTTATGTGCTCTCATTCAGCGCTAGGTGATGAAATGAGGATTTCTTTTGGCTGAGAGCAGCTTAGACTGTAACAGATGGCACACAGAAAGCATGAACTTGCAATTCAGATCAAACTGAAAGCAGCAGATGAGGGATATAAATACCTCTGGGTGGTTTGGATGAAAAGAAACTGCTAAGGAAAATAATACTTTTATTTAGAGAATGCATTTAAAAATACCTGAATGTTATTAATTTTCTTTAAATGATACTCACCAAACCTGTCTCTAACCTTACACTGTAAAAATGATTGTAGGAATTCGTTGTCACAACTTAAAATTTAGCGTTTTCTTTTCTTGATATAGCTCAAATATCCAAATTGTATTGACATTTATCATTGACTTTTTTTTTCTTTCAGTGAGTTTCAACATGCGTTCACTCATAAACAATGTACACAAATGTAAAAATCACATACATCACCAATAAAATTCACCCACACTCATTTCTGAGACCTGCTCAGATTAAGGCTACTCTGCACACACACACACACACACACAAAAACTAAACTTTTAAGGCAGCACAAACACGTTTTTGAGTTTTAAATGCTTATTAGTTATTCTAATGTTGATTTTTAAATTGTGGTAACTAATTGCAACAAGTGTTTTTATATTCCACCTCAATAGCAGCAAACATTTTGCAATACATAAAAAGAAAAGGTAAGGTACATTGTACCCAACAATTTATAAAGTGGGACCAGTGACATAGGAAAATGGAAGTTATAAAAGGTGAACTGTTTAAATGATCCAAAAAATGTTAAACTGAAGTCACTAGATGCATTAAACCAATACCGGTTGAGAGGTTTTTAATAAAAAAAAAATGAAATTAGCTATAAAATATGGGTTTAATCAAACTGTTTTTGTATTATTCAACCGAAGTTGAGGTCTCAGCTTGTTTTAGCCAATGTGTTGTCACTAGTGACTGGCATGTACAATATAGCACATCGTATGATGACCTATTGAATTCTGTAGGGAAAGGAATGGAGGGGGGTTGGGACCTCGAGTATAAAAGAGGAAAGTTATGGGGTTACCCAGCACTAAATTACCTTATGCTTATACTAATGTTCTGTGACATTTCATTTGACACTGTGGTGTCATTAGAAACGTATTTGCCTCTGAAATGATGTTACATTTAAATGTCAACATTGATGCACTGTTTAGGATCTGCCAAAATTTGAGACTGTCTCATCCTGTGAAGGGCACTTGCAGTAGCCTTTTAATAAACACAGCATATTATTAACATATTATTAAAGCTCTCCTGCTGTCCCTTAGAGCACCAACTGGTGGAATAGTGTTTCATCACCTGTGTGAAGTGGTATTTGGGTGTTCAAATATGGAAGTTTTAAATTAAGGTTCACTCCCATTCACATGG